CGTAGATTTTAATTTAAAGATATTTTATATAAAAAACATGAAATAATATTTCTTTTACAGAAATATTGATGTTACTTTTAGGTTTATAATTATTATTTTTATTTTGTTTAAATTTCTGAAACCGAGTTTCCGAAACTGAGTTTCATCATGATACTCTGTCTTAAGTTTTGGGTTCTGGAATCTCTTGGTTTATTATAAATTTCATCAATATGGGAAACCGATTCCTCAGAATCTAGGTGGAGATGGGCAAATTAGACTTCATCGCTTGTGAACGGCCCATTTCGTTCATTTTTTTTCAATCGTCCAAAAGTTGTCAGTAAAAAAATATTGTTTTTTAAAAACTTCGTCAAACATATTGTTCGTTCTGTAATACAAACTATAGTTTTTAGGTTCGTTCGAACGATTTTAAATTAAAAATTAAAATTTTTAAATAAAGATATTTTTTTTTAATTCTTTGAACAATCCATATTATTTGTGAATTGCTCGTTTTTTCCTGAACGACACCCTTTTTCACAAAAAATTTCGTTCGTACTATAAAGTTTCATTGGTAAAAAAACTATGCCCATCTCTAAATCCAGGAATTACAATTTGAAGTCTTAGAATTTGTACAACTTGAATCCAACTTTGGGAAATCTAATTAAGAATCTCAAGACACAATTCCACTTACTCAACTTACTCAACTTCAAAACTTACTCAACTTACTCAACTTACTCAACTTCAAAACTTACTCAACTTACTCAACTTACTCAACTTCAAAACTTACTCAACTTACTCAACTTACTCAACTTCAAAACTTACTCAACTTACTCAACTTACTCAACTTCAAAACTTACTCAACTTACTCAACTTACTCAACTTCAAAACTTACTCAACTTACTCAACTTACTCAACTTCAAAACTTACTCAACTTACTCAACTTACTCAACTTCAAAACTTACTCAACTTACTCAACTTACTCAACTTCAAAACTTACTCAACTTACTCAACTTACTCAACTTCAAAACTTACTCAACTTACTCAACTTACTCAACTTCAAAACTTACTCAACTTACTCAACTTACTCAACTTCAAAACTTACTCAACTTACTCAACTTACTCAACTTACTCCACTTACTCCACTTACTCAACTTACTCAACTTAATCAACTTCAAAACTGGCAAAATCTCAACAATTTTTTATCTTAATAATCTTTCTGATTATTTAGCGTAAATTAAAAGCTGATCTGTAACAATAATAAATATATTTAAAATTTAATGATTTTTTTATATCATCTTCTTTTCCAGAAATGAAAGGAAATAGGATAATTCAAATTTACAGGTATAAGCTAATTTAGTTAGCAACCACTTGATATCTGACATTTCAAGGTGACATATTTTTAAAATTAAAGATATTTTGAAACGAATTTGGAGGCATCAAATGCTCCATCCCCCAAGGACCTTTCTTGAGATTAAAGTATGTTAAAAAAAATTGCAAAAATATACAGGCTTTTCCAAAAAAGTGTGTGTAAAAATGCAAGAAAAGAGATCCTACATTTGAGATCTTTAAATGCAGAAAATCATCTCCCTCAAAACTGGACACCGGCTTTGCATGCTTTTACATCTGCCTAAATATTAGGCAGACGCTGAACTTCAACCTTCGAGTGTGCAAGGTTGGGAAGACTTCACTGCCTCGCTTAATTAAAAGCATGATTAAGGGGGGATGACATTTGTAGATCGAGATTGAATCCTAACCGCAGCGCTCGGCCCAGAAAATGTAAAAACTTAACCTAAACCGTGGCTGCAGCGCTCGGCCCCCTAGCCTGTCCTAGACGCAGCGCTCGGCCCACAAAGTGTCTTACCCTAACCTAACCCTAAATAAAAGAAAGTTTAATAACTTAACCTAACCCTAAATAGATACTAATTTAATTTAATTGAAAAAGTGGTCAAGTACAAAAGTAAAATCTGCAGTGAAGTCTTCCCCAACTCGAGTTGGAGTTCAGCGTCTGCCTAAATATTATGTTTATTTTAATGATTTTTTAACAAAGATAATCTGCTAAAAGTAAGCAAAATATCCTGTAGATAAGCTAGGATTTAAAAACAATAGATTGTAATCAAAACGTTCATTATTTTGTCCTTGTTAGTTGGATAAAAAGAAATGTACTTTTATTTTTCAACTTTACACTTTAAAAGGCGTAAATGATTATGAATTTAAGGGAACTAAAGTTTAACATAAGTTTAAGTAACCCTCCATTAATTATGTTGCCGGTTCGATTCACAACAACACTTCTGAAAGCTTTATTAGAGTAACCATGAGAGAAAGATATCGTTTTATCTTTAATTACCATAGTCATTTTAAATTCTTGATATTCCATAATTTCGGTTAACTCTTTCAATCTAGCAGACATAATTTCGAAGAATTCCAAAAATCTAGGGGACATAATTTCGAGGAACTCCTTAAATCTAGCAGACATAATTTCTAGGAACTCCTTAAATCTAGCAGACATAATTTTTAGGAACTTCTTAAATCTAGCAGACATAATTTCTAGGAACTCCTTAAATCTAGCAGACATAATTTTTAGGAACTTCTTAAATCTAGCAGACATAATTTTAAGGAACTCCTTAAATCTAGCAGACATAATTTCGAGGAACTCCAAAAATCTAGCTGACATTATTTCAAGGAACTCCTTAAATCTAGCAGACATAGTTTCAAGAAACTACAAAAATCTAGCAGACATTATTTCAAGGAACTCCAAAAACCTAGTAGACATAATTTCGAGGAACTCCAAAAATCTAGCGGACATTATTTCAAGGAACTCGTTAAATCTAGTAGACATAATTTCGAGGAACTCCTTTAATGTAGCAGACATAATTTCAAGGAACTTCAAAAATCTAGCAGACATTATTTCAAGGAACTCCAAAAATTTAGCAGACATAATTTCGAAGAACTCCTTAAATCTAGCAGACATAATTTCGAGGAACTCCTTTAATCTAGCAGACATAATTTCAAAGAACTCCAAAAATCTAGCAGACATTATTTCAAGGAACTCCAAAAATTTAGCAGACATAATTTCGAAGAACTCCTTAAATCTAGCAGACATAATTTCGAGGAACTCCTTTAATCTAGCAGACATAATTTCAAAGAACTCCAAAAATCTAGCAGACATTATTTCAAAGAACTCCAAAAATCTAGCAGAAATAATTTCGAAGAACTCCTTAAATCTAGCAGACATAATTTCAAGGAACTCCAAAAATCTAGCAGACATAATTTCAAGGAACTCCAAAAATCTAGCAGACATAATTTCAAGGAACTTCAAAATCTAGCAGACATAATTTCGAAGAACTCCTTTAATCTAGCAGACATAATTTCAAGGAACTCGTCAAATCTAGTAGACATAATTTCTAGGAACTCCTTAAATCTAGCAGACATAATTTCTAAGAACTCCTTAAATCTAGCAGACATAATTTCTAGGAACTCCTTAAATCTAGCAGACGTAATTTCAAGGCAGAATTATTTCGAGGAACACCTTAAACCCTTGGGAAATATGACTAAGCTCTAAGAACGATTTAAAGCATACACTTATCTACATTTTTTTTAGGGAACACCCAACTGTATAACCACTATCTTTAAATCTTTTGTATATATTTATTTTGTAAATCTTTACTTTGTAAATCTTTATTTTGTAGATCTTTATTTTGTAAATATGTATTTTGTAAATCTTTATTTTGTAAATATGTATTTGTAAATCTTTATTTTGTAAATCTTTATTTTGTAAATCTGTATTTTGTAAATACAACATTTTAGTTAAATCTACAATTCTTCGAATTGAAGAGCCAAACATTTTTAATTAAGAGGGATTAGAACAAATAAACAGAAAAAAGACACAATATAGCATCTTTATAATTTGTTTGTGACGGGGGGAGATATTTGTAAAACATAATAAACATTATTTCATTTGCTAAAGTAATATTTCAGGATGAATTAAATGCATCTATTAAAATTCCAAAATTAGATTGTAATAACTATATTAACATAACAGAAACGTAGATGATGGATTAAGTTTATACTTATGATGTGAGAATTTTATAAACAAAAAAAATGAAAATTAAGCATTGACGTTAAAACCATCTTTGAGTTTTAAAAGAAATTAAGAGTTTTCCAAATTGTGGCTTTGTATCTTAAAACAGAAAAAAGACGCTTGAAAAGCTAGGTTGGGGTATATTAAACTAGATATATGATATAAGGTCAACATACAGGAAATCCCAGAAAAAATATAGTTTTTAGGTAAAGTAGGATGCCTCTGAGCTAGAACTTAAAATGTTTCTTATTACATTATATATCTATTACTCTCTCGTTTGTTTTTCTATTACGGAATCATATTGGATGTTTATATCACATTCAATGTGTTATTCATATTTCCACATATATTAAGCCTTGATAATTGTTGATAAATGAATCTTTGACTAAAAGGAATTCCTTAAATCTAGCAGACATAATTTCTAGGAACTCCTTAAATCTAGCAGACATAATTTCTAGGTACTCCTTAAATCTAGCAGACATAATTTCTAGGAACTCCTTATATCTAGAAGACATAATTTCTAGGAACTCCTTATATCTAGCAGACATAATTTCTAGGAACTCCTTATATCTAGCAGACATAATTCCGAGGAACTTCTTAAACGCTTGAGAAATATTGTATATACAGCTAATCTATTAGAACGATAAATATTACCACCAAAGTGCCAAAATATTTCTATGGTTAATCTCCTTGAATGATTTTAGACAAATTTCACTCCCCTATTCTACATAGTCTTGAGAGTGTCATAAGTTCCATTTAAGTATGTTCTAATATTTACGAACATAAATGGAAAGATCTTTGCTTAAATTTGTTCCTATTTTTTGGGACACCTTCTACCTAAAATTTGTAAATTATATTATTTCCAGCTGAATTAAACATTAAAAGTAATCTTTTTTGATAGAAAAAAATGATTTAAAAAATAACAATTTCTAAGAAAATCTGATTCATATATTTAATGATAAAACGGATTACTTCTTGTTATTATTCATATTTTTTTCACTTAAATAGTTAAACTTATTTTTCTCCGTGTTCAATGGTGTGATCTCGTTACTACTCCTCTGGAAGAGGCACCTAAGAAAAATGTAAGAATTAAATACAGGGTGAGTCAATCTGATAGATTCCTTACAGCAACTATTTTTTCCTCCTCAAAATTAAATGAGTAGAAAAACAAAAGTGTGCGAATATATTATTTCTATCACATCTTAATCTTAAACATATCAGATGGGTAGTTTTGTAAAATACGTAAAAAGATATTTCAATACACGTGGATTTAACGGTTCTGTCAATATTTCAGAAAACTGTGACTTACGATCACAATATGACCCCTTTTACATAATTTTTTAGCCTTTTATCTAAACTTTTTTGTTGGCATATACATTGTGAATGTATAAAGTATAAAATAAACAAATCTGTAAGTTTTAAGATTGTTGAGTTATAGACGAAAACACGTTTGATTTCAAATAAAAGAAACCGAATGCTTCTCTCTCTCGTTAGTTCATGATGAATAATACACTTTTTATGCTTAATTTCCTTTTATTCTAATTTAGATATCAAATTATAAAAAGAATTTAAAGAATAAAAATCCTCAAAATGATTTTAAAAAATTGAATTGCGGATTTCTTAATTTAATTTCGCGCATTTTTTTCGGTATATTTGGAAGTAAAAATTGGAAAAAAATATTTTTTGATTATTTTCATTTCTTTTTGTTGGCCATAATTATTAAACGGATACTAATTTTATATTTTTACAGTGTTTTAACTTTTATGTAAACAAAGCTGATATTTTTTTAAAAGCTTTTAACTATAAAAACATTTTTTCAAAAAAAAAACATTCTTCTTAAAGGTAAAAAATGTACGTACTTTTTGTAAGCAAAGCATTTTAAATTTTTTCTTTCATATGCTCCTCAAAAAAAAGGTTAACGACATATTATATAACATTCTCTTTAACTGACCTGAAGCATCCAAGATTTTCTAGTTCTCTTTCCTGCTCCAGAATCTAAACATCATAGTTTTTTAAAGTTTTTATTTTATCTTAGATAAAGATTGAAAATAAACTATTGTGAATCGGATATGCTGATCTTTAGCACTATAGTTTCAGTAGAAATAAATATTTCCATTTACTGATAGCGCCGATTGAAGGATTCATAACTCTGATTGGATAATGACATAGATAGAAAGATAGATGTTACCAACATACTATTTCTATTGGTTCAGAATAGACAACAAACAAATGGCTGACCCTGATTGGATCAGGATCTAATGGACTCGGCATACAGGAGTGTTAGATAGAAGTCTCGTTAACATTTCGTACACAGTCCCTTTACATAACAGGAGAATAACGAAAAAAGAATATTATTTGTGAAGATAAACTGTAATTGTAAAAATATAACTATAGCTGGAATCCTAGTTTAGCCTATGCCAACTGGACTTTCTCTGCAAAAGTTAAAATTCACAACGCAAAATTGGTAAACCAAGCTAAGAAAATTTCCGTGCGGTTCTTCCGAGTTCTAAAATCAAAATTTGAGGCAAATCGGTTATGGGGTTCCTGCGTTTGACATACACAAACAGACAAGAAGATAAACGCACAATCAGATTTCTTCTTTTATTTATACTATAGCTTGGGAACCTGGCGCTGTCCATGTTACTCATAGTGTCTCCCGTCGTTTACCCGCAATGGGTCAATTTTAGTAGGAAACTAAATGTTCGTTATTTAAGTCTACCCACTCAACTTAGAAACTCAAACCAAGCTAAGAACATTCATTTGGCTCTTCCGAGTTCCAAATCGGTCTAAGGGTTCCTGAGCTATGATTGGACAAACAAACAGACAGAGATTACAACTTTAAATGTAATCTGGGTAAAATCAGTATCAAGAGATTTCATATTTTTCACTTAAACTCAAAATAGTGTTTATAACACAAACATATTAAAGAAGAAAACAATCTCACCTTGAAATAACTGAAATATATATCTTGCTTTTACATTTTCGATAGACAAGCATTTGCTGAGTCATGGGATCATTAACATGTTTCACTTGGTGGTTTTCATAAGCAATGTTTTTAATTGTTTATCTTCTTGATGGTTTCTTTCATATATACATACTTGTAATGATACATCATACAACTCGATGGAATATTTTTAAAACTAAATCTTGGATTTTTTAGTTTTTTAAAACTATTGATGCAATTTTTTTTTGCATAATACAAACAAATAAAAGAGAAATCTAATTTTGTTTAATCCACCAATTTAAACAGAAAAATCTTTTTGTAAACAAAGTAATCTTAACTTTGGTATTTAGTTTCACATTTATATTTTTAATGTAAGTTTGTATAAATATGTTTAGTTTTACATTTATATTTTATATTGTAAGTTAGTATGAATATGTTTAGTTTTACATTTATATTTTATATTGTAAGTTAGTATGAATATGTTTAGTTTTACATTTATATTCTATATTGTAAAATTGTAAAATCTATTTAAGGCGATTTACAGCCTATTTAAAGAGAATATAAGACAGCAAATTGTAAGCATGAAAGACAATATTAAATATGTATTTCAATGGTTTCAATCTAAAAATATCTAAAATTAGTTTATGTTACAGAGAATATAGTTACTAAGATTGAAAGATAAATGTATAAATAAGTTAATAAGAAACGTACTTTTACGGCACTATCTCTTGGTTTAATTGAGGATGGATACAAATCTCATCTCTGGATATTGGACTCTGGACTCTCGCCTCTAGACACTCGACACTGGACTCACGCCTCTGGACTCGGGACTTGGTGTATAGACTCTTTGGACTACTGTCATCTGGACTCTGGACACTTGACTCTGGACTCTGGACTTTGGACTCTCGACACGGGTCTCTCTGGGATATTTAACCCATCTCCAGTGATGGTTAGCTCCATACTGATTAAACTACTTGCGTACACTAAGAGTAATGTACACAAGAGTACTGTACAGTTAATGCGTCACTACACATGTACCGGATACAGCTGGTAGGAAAGCTATAAGGGGGGGGGGGCAATCTGTAGATTTAATATTTGTATGATTAACAAGTTATCTTCAGATTACACCAACCACAGGTTTCACAAAGTTAGTATGAATATGTTTAGTTTTACATTTATATATTATGTTGTAAGTTAGTATGAATATGTTTAGTTTTACATTTATATTTTATATTGTAAGTTGTTATTGAATATGTTTAGTTTTACATTTATATTTTATATCATAAGTATGAATATGTTTAGTTTTACATTTATATTTTATATTGTAAGTTAGTATGAATATGTTTAGTTTTACATTTATATTTTATATTATATAAGTTAGTATGAATATGTTTAGTTTTACATTTATATTTTACATTGTAAGTAAGTATGAATATGTTTAGTTTTACATTTATATTTTACATTGTAAGTTAGTATAAATATGTTTAGTTTTACAATTATATCTTATATTGTAAGTTAGTATGAATATGTTTAGTTTTACATTTTTATTTTATATTGTAAGTTAGTATGAATATGTTAGATAAATATGTGAAACTCTTCTATATAAACCTTGGATAATGTTTACTTTAGTGATTATCCTTTATTGTCCTCTCTGCACTTTCTTTTATACATTCCACTCCTCTCACATATATGAAAATATGCACCCTCCTTCCTACCCACCCCTTTCTTATCCCACTTTACCCCCCCCCCCCTTAACCCAAAGAGGAGAAAATATATTTTCAGATTTTTTCAATTATTGTTTTTTTTGTTTCATATCATCATTATTTCAGGTGAGGTAATATGATTTCCGGGAATAGTACTGCGGCTCGGACAGGCTGGCTGGTCAAGTGCTGAGGCTTTATGTTTCATGGTTTGGGTTGGGGGGTAGTGGTGGTGGGGGGGGGGAATTGACCACTGATTCTTGGCTAAAATATCAAAAGTACTGAGCTCAAACCTGGTTTTGAAGAACTAGGTTATCCATCCTAAGTTCTTCCAAATCTTCTTCTAATTTATTCTTTTCATCATCTTCATCAGCAGCTTTCCTAAACATACATTGCATCTTCTTAATCTAATTTCCTAAACATTCATTGCATCATCTTCATCAAATTTCCTAAACATTCATTTCATCATCTTCATCTAATTTCCTAAACATTCATTGTATCATCTTCATCTACTTTACTAAACATTCATTGCATCATCTTCATCTACTTTACTAAATATACATTGCATCATCTTCATCTACTTTACTAAATATACATTGCATCATCTTTATCCACTTTCCTAAATATGCATTACATCATCTTCATCCACTTTCCTGAGTTATATGTCAACAACAACAAAAAAAACGTTCGGGGGTTGAGGGGCTGTCCTTCTCGGAGGAATAGGTTTAGAATCTGTTTTTATTATATATTATATTACCTTCATCTATCCTTTCTTTAACTCAGTAAGATAATCTTAATGTAATTAAGAGGATTATATTTTCATTTAATTAAAACAGTTTTAAATATGTCTTTGAAGAGATAAAGCTTTGTTCCATTATAAAATCTTACAATACTAATCCAACTATCTCTTGTTCAACTTAAAGGGACTGTGAACATAATTTGAGAGATTTCAATTTCTAACGCAATTTCAAACGAACCCCCTAAAAACTTAATGATCACTTCTTGCAGATGCAACAGAGACATGCAAGGAAAATGTTAAAATGGGCATCTTATCAAAAGAGCAAAATTTCTTTAACTTACTTAGGTAGTGCCGGGGTATTACTAGATCTTCTTTGTATTATCTCTGGTTGTCTTAAATCCACTGGGACTGATACTGACGAGAAGTAGAAGTATCCTAGAATAAAAAAAGTGACTCTTTTCAAAATTCTAGGCATCAAGCTAAAAATAAAAAAATAATATGTAATATATAATATTGTGGACAGCTTATTGTTTCATTATTTTAAAAGTTTACTTTATCATTATTTTACCTTTTATCCTGACATAAGAAATATATTTTTTTATATATTATAAGAAAATGATGTTACCCCCGAAAGTGCTAAGGTCTGCTTCAACTACAAAATATTCATCAAACTCCTCCTCAACCTCATCTAAATTCTTCATTAAAGGGACTGTACGCGTAGTTTTAAGTGACCTGCTATGCAAAGATATCAATGCCCGATTTACAACGGTACCCTTAAAAACTTTGTATGAATTATATTTGCATGTTTTTGCTTAGTTTAATTGTTTATCTTCATTTGCGGTTTTTCTTCAAAAGTTACTCCAGTCTAAAAGTTAAATGGACCGTGCCGGTACAACATGTACTGTATATTTAGTCGGTTGTACTGTCCCGTCAGACTACCCTGTGTAGAGGCGATCCAATACGTTTTATTCAACACGTATAGTCTGGTAAGATCACTGTGTACTTACACATTTCTTGATTGTAAGGAACAATTTAAAATGGAGAATCTCACACAAATAAACACTTTACAAGTCAGTTAAAATGACGGTATCTTCCAAATATTTTTAATCATTCAATGTTTCAATGTTATTGCTGTAAATCGGGCATTGCCATCTTTGCATGGACAGTTAATCAAAATTATGCATACAGTTCCTCTTAGCATAAAAGCACCTAAGTGGTGACCCTGCATTAAAAAAAGGCGCATGTCTGTTTCGCAACACTTCCTTTAAATATAAATCTAATTAAGATTGAGGAAGACATCGGTGTTTTCTAGTTTAAAAAAGGGTCGAATTCTATTAATTTCCTTTATTGTTTCTGAAGCAGATATTTTAAAGAAACCCAAAAATAATCAATTTGCATCTATATGGATACATATATCTTATTCATCCTTGATAAGAAAAAGAGATACAGGTAACCTTGTGAGTCAGACATGCCTCTCTGCTTACGGAGAGTCACTCAAAATTACGCCCCCGTTCTTTTATGATTCAATTGAATAGTATTACTTTTGGTTGCATTTTCAACTATGCATATAATATGATTATAAACAATACTAGGTATTCATAGATATAGATATGTAGTTAATACAAAATTCATATGTGAAATTGTTTACACTAGACAATTTTAGATTGCCTTGTAATTTGTAATTGTCTGTACGATGGTTTGGCACTATTGATATAAAAACAACGATTTAAAAGAAATCAAACGGTTCAATATCAATATCTTTTTAATTTGAAAGGAGAAATTTTTTTTTTAAATTTTGTGACCGCTCTAAGATTTTAATTTATCGCTTTACCTGCTGAAAGTTGAGAGCCACTATAATGACTTGGTGATGTTTGATACTTAGATAAATCTCGGATAGGTAAAGGGATATCTTTGACAGACTTAGTCAGATCATTCTTTTTCTAGAACACATTTTTAAGCACGTTAAAATATACATTATTCTAGTAATTTTAACCTCATCTGCTTTTTGCCCAGAATCAAAAAGGTTTTCTACTTGTTTTTAAAAACTTTCCAAAAACTGATATTCCTGCGAATAAAGGCACTTAGATGTATTTAATGTATTTGAACTGCCTATCAACGGTTCAAATTTAAATCACCGATTCAAATCCTTTCTAAACCCTTAGCTTTGAATTGGTGGTTCAAATTGAACTGGCTGACAGTGGTTTACTGACGCAGCTCAAATTCATCAAATTCATTAAATTCGGTCTCTGAACACATAGTCTCAAACTTTCAATTTTATCAAATATTTGCAACCGGAAGCCTGATTTTGATGAATAGAAAAAGTAGTTGAACTATGTGAATCAAATTAAACCAGTTCTCTTCAGCTTTTCCCAGTGCATTTAGAAGCATTTATTTTTTGATCTAGCCGAATTCAAAGTTTGACATATCTAAGTTATATGAACTCAAAAATTCAAAAATTGAGTTAGAAGAAAGAAGTATTTCAAAAGATTGTCAATAATAATCTTTTTTTTTCTTACCTTACTTATTAAAGTTTTCTCTTTTTGCTTTTTCTTCTTCTTTTTTACGCCAGGAGAATTGAATTTAGGACTGAGTTCCGAGCTTTTTTTTCTTATACTCTCCCTTTTCTTCTTCCTTCTTAAAAAATGAATGTATAAAAATAAATTTTATGAAACAGCGGGACCCACATTTAAGGAATATATGATTTTTTTCAGAAAAATTAATTTTTAATAATTTTGTTTTTTTGTTATTTACCTTTTCCTTTCTGGTTCTTCCTTCTTCTTTGATTTTCTTCTTTGTTTTGTTTCATTTATTTGTTCTCCTTCGACAGGGTTGACTATACCCTCTTCATCAGGCTCATCAACTAATTATTATTTATTTACCCTTTACAGGCATGGGGGGGGGGGGGTTGAATCTTTGTATAGATTTCCACGCCACCATAGAAGAAAGGCCTTAGAGTTAAGATATTGCAATGCCAGTTCATAATCAACATTTTCAAGGCCAGCACATTGGAAAACAAATTTGAATCCGTTTATGTTCACAGATTGGATGCTATAGTGAGGAGTGAAAAGTCAGAAAAATGTAAAAAAAAACTCCTATTTTTGACAAATATTAAGATGTGACACACATCACATCTCATCCATTTTTAAAGGCCTTTTAATAATATATTTTAGATCTGATACTTAAAAAAGTTTCTTTAGATGTTTTAAACACTGACTTGCCTTTTTACTGTCTTTAAAAGTTACCAAATGTTTTGTTAATTGTGTCAAAAATTGAAGTGCCAGGACAAAAACAACTAGAGGGGGGGAGGAAGGTCGTCAATCTTCCCCCATCCCCCTGGAGTTAAGCGCATGCTGCGCTGAATAACAAGATAGAGAAAGAGCATGCGCGTAACTCCTTTGGGCTTCTGCCTCATGGTTATTGTGAACGAAAAACCCCTAAATCTTGAAAAGGCGACATAAAGTGTTCTATCTGAAATGTTATGAATCATTGGTCATACAACTAAGCTAAATGATGTAATTTATATCAAGAACATAAGATAAGAATTACTAAGCTATTAGTGATGACGATGACGTTTGAGGTTCAGTTTAAAACGCCACTCTCTTCTCATTGGTTGAATTTTAACCTTCAACCAATCAGCAATATATTAGCTAATTAATACAATTTCGAGCCTGCAATTAGAACTCTCGGATTATAGTAACATTTTATATATGCAAAAAGGTATTTTTACTCCTTGTTCGATTGCTTTTCTGTAAATCGTTGATACTTATATGTTTAACTTATAATTTTGAATATCAAAATGTAAAATATCATTAGGTGGCATTATAGGAATTAGAAATTCAGGCTAGTTTGAGTTATGTATAAGTGAGTTAAAATGATATATCCTTATTTATTTTTGTGAGCGTCGATAGAGTTTGCCATTATTAATTTTCCTTTAAATGCCAGAAAAACTTGTCATCATTATTTTGGAAAATAACGATTTTTATACGAGTCCAAGGCATAAATTATTAACTTTGATGCTATGGTTTCTATTTTATGATAAATTATGGGTCTCTTCATGTAAATACCAAATTAATTTTGAAGACTGGAGGTTAATGATTTTCATGATTATGGTTAAAAACAAGTGTAAAACTAAATTATGTTTGACCTGTAATATCGTTTTGTTCTTGTTCTCTTGAGAGTAATCTTAAATAATTAATAAAATATTAAAAGATACTATTATTATGATAATGTATTGATCAAATGCTTTTTACTTTTATCGTACCTTCCCAATGCATTGTGGGCGCAGTCCTGCAATATATAATGTTTTATAAAAAAAATTAATTTTAAGATTTTAAATTTGAATCTACAGACATAGTTGAATCTGACCAAGAAGGTGAACCGTCGTTTTTCTGACTTGGAAAGCATTTGTTTCTGATAATTAATGCTTTGTTTCTAAAGATGTGAGAAGATGTATTTTGCAGAGAAACCACCAAAGAAATTACACAGTTTTCAAAATAAAAAACATAAAACGAGAATATACAGTTTAAACTTGATCAGACAAACCTTTCAATGCTATCATTGCGAATCAAACATGCCAATGGAGATTTGTCTATAAATTCCGTTAAAGAACCTGAGCATTCATGAGGCACATTGGACACACAGAGGTGGCAGGTTCAACAAACTCCTCCCTGTTGGATTCCTCTGATTCATCATCTTCAACTAAACAGAGATAAGATAAGATAAAGTTTATTGCTAAAATACATGTATCTGTGTACAGAACGAGTTTACAATTACAAATTGATGATTATATTAACAGTACAAGTATAAAGCAATTAGGTGGAAAATAGCTCTCGGCTGTTTTGATTATTTTTTCCACCTAATTTCAATAATGATAACAAAACGTTTCAAGTAAATAGATTTAAGGAGAACTATTATGAGATTAGAGATATATTAAGGTTTCCAACTAATTAAGTAAAAACCGAGAACTGGAGTATTTTTAACTTTTTAAAATTTTTAATTTTGGAATTTATTTTGGCTATGGCTATTATTTTGTAGGTTAAGCATGACCGTCAAATTAGAAAAAAAATATTTTTAAAAAAGAAAATCATTTTATAATGATCAAAATGCCACACATTTATTTACAAAGATCTATTATTGTGAACGTGAGATTGGTACCATCTTTATTTCTATTTTAGTATTTTGTTCTGAAGTACTAGGTTGCGAAAAAAATTTAAAGTTGTTCCTTTCATGCTAATCATAATCGCAAATGTTTCTAAATCTTCTAACTTGTCATAAACTCTTTTCTAAATCAGAGAACTCTTCTTATTTCTTACCAATTGCTTTCTTTTCCTGGGTGTCTGTGTTTAAACTTTTGGACCTTTTTCTTCGTTTTTTCTTCTTTTTCCTCTTTCCTCCAGTTAAAGGAGAATCTGTTTCACTTTTAGATCGTTCCTTGGAAGATTTTGGTCTATAAAAGATCGGTTCCTGATGTTCGCCATAGAAATAAAAAAATTGCAAAGGAATTGAGTCTTTGTAACAAACTTAAATTTTCTAATTACTACATCTTTGCAACCTGATGGTGTAAACCTTTGATATTTCAAATTGAAACTATTTGACCAAACATAATTCATAGTTTGAAATATCAAAGGTCTGCGAGATCAGGATGTTAAGCTATATGTGTTAGCAAATCAGAGTTTGTGGCAAAACCTCAGTTTCTTTATGTTGATATTATATTAAATGTGCAATGCCGTCATAGTTACATCACTATAAAAAATTACAATGCGAGAAATAATATTTGATAATTACAAAATTGTTTTTAAATAAACCTGAGTTAACAGTGTAGTATGTTTTTTTAAATAATACAGTTTATATACAATGATTGAACAATAACAAATATTTATTCATCAAAATTTTCTTTTTTAATTTCATTTTACTCTGCTAACACATAATGATATAATACTAACTGTCGATATAAGATTTAGCATCAACTTTAACCAATATTCTCAATACTAAATTTGAAAACTGATATAAGTTTATGTATATTTATAATTTATAAAAGACACAAATTCACATTCTCATCTTTAAATGGCTTTTGCGAAAATGTCAAACGTTCAGAACGAATGTTAGGCCTGCACTAGCACCTAACTCAACATTTTTAGTCAGAAAAAAATAATGGCATTGTTGATCACTGAACAGACAAAAGCTTGAAGGGTGCCTTAAGAAATCATTAATTTTTTAAATAATTGTTTTAACAAAATACAAACAAGCTTTAAGTTGCTAAAGGTTCACCTTGATTGTTTCTGATTTCTGGATTCCTAAAATAATTAAACATGTTTGGTAAGCAGTAAACCATACTCAAATCTTGTATGTCTTCAACACGCACCTCTGCCTCTTTAGTAAAAGTAAATTCAACATATATGAAGCATAAAGTCTGACCGCGTCAACCTTGTTGCACTGGCTAGTCCTGTTGATTGTCTGCTTAAGCTTAATCAAGCCAATGTCCGTGCGGTACCTAGTACAAACTCAAACCGGAAAGGTGGACCCGGCTTGGAAATTCAAATGTATACTATGACTGACCGTGTCAATCATGTATCCATTTATAGAAGAGGTATTGAATGAAATGTGTTAAAAATATAAGCAGTATGTAACCAAGTACTTCTTCTTTTCATCATACTTGTGCGATATAATCAAAATTAGAGAAGCTAAGATGGTAAGTAAGTAAGATTTATTAGAGATAAATCAAGATCATAATACATATCATTCTCATAAGCATATAATTGAAAATATCATGGGTTTTATCACAGATTAAGATAAGGTTATATTATGAATAAACTCATTCCAGTGATATGACCACCTCCTTCTGAATATTTTGCAGTTACGATCGTAAAATCACAAGAGATTTCTATATATATTTTACATAAAATTTTGTAAATTAAAAGAATTTTCCAAAATATGTTATAAACTAAGCATAAGAAAATGTGCTAATAACCTAACAATGTTGGTAATCCGAAATTTCATCTAACTAGGACGGGGCACGGTGAGACTTTTTCAAGCCGTTTGTTAGAGGTTAGTTATAACACAGCTTACCGTTATTTTAAAACACATCCATTGGTTCTTATTTATCTTACGATCTGTATTTTTACATAAACGGTTATTTTCGTTTTTTTAAAGAAGGTGGTTGCTGTTTGGTCTGTACAATTTCTGAACTGTTATTTTCCACAACCATTAGTCGTACTTTAAATAAAACTTTTCATTTTGGGTAAACTACAAATAATATGATAAGGGTGTCAAATAAGTATTTTTAGTATTTTTGATTGAGGGGCCAAAATCTCCACTTTCAAATTTTTAAAATCAATAAATGCTTGATTTTACAATTGTACACTTTTTCGAAAAAAGTAAATATTTGCGTGATTAGATAGGGTAATAATAGACGTTTTAATTTTTAAAAACGTTGTCTGGCCAAAGTGTTTGTCTGCAAGAGTCGCGCAGACATCGCTTTATAATCTCGTTTTTGATTTATTTTGTGGAAAAATACTTATATTTTCCACCTCCACCTCCTTTATGTTTTTTGCCGTTTGTTAACGGATTTTACAGTTTTTAAAAGTTTGCTGTTTATTTATTTATCTATTTATGTGATTTGTAAGGATAGGCGTTTTTAATTTGGAAAAAAGTTGTCTGATCAAAGTGTTTGTCTGCAAGAGTCGATCAGACATCGCTTTAAAATCTCATTCTTGATTTAATTAGTGGAAAAATACTTGATTGTATTACCCATATTCAGAGACAAACCACCTTCTTAATGTTTTTTGCCGTTTGTTAACGGATTTTACAGTTTTTAAAAGTTTGCTGTTTATTTATTTATTTATGCCCAGCACTACTTTCAACAATGTGCGCGAAATTGAAAAAAAAGTTATAATATGATGTGTCTAATCTTACTGTTGAATAGCTGAGTCTTCGCGGTGTTTCGTCAAATTTATCAAATCCCCCTGTCTTCTCTTTCTTCTCCAGCTCGACTAATATCTAATATTTAAAGGAGAATGAGTATGGTATATTTTCTCTTTTTTTAATGATAAACTAGATGAAGAGCCCATCGTTGCCCGTGGAATTTATAGAAACGCTTGAACTTTTTTTCTAACTTTGAAAAAAAAATTTTATTAAAATTCTCGAATTTTGAAAATATTTTTAGCCTAAGTTACCCCAAGGAAAACTAAAATATTTGTTAAGACAAATTCAACCAATTTGCTTAAGTAGTTTGGTCAGCTATATATAAGCTAACATATGTATATTATAAATATATATAATATATGAGCTTTATTTTATAGATAAGATTTTGTCATTTTTACCATGGTCTCTTAAAATGTGCGCTGGGACTTAAAAAATGATTATTATGGGGGATATAAAGTATTTTATATACCTGTTCTGGTTTTCCGGCCCCGACTGTAGTAGCCGTTTCTCCATATTCATTATAGGATATCATAGTATGCGTCTTAGTCTGTAAATCCTTTATTAAAAAAACATTATATTAGATATGATAAACCTTATATATCTATCTATTTAAAAAAATATATTTTTCTGGAACCAACAAAAAACACATGCTTTCAAGCATTTTATAAAAATTATCAAGTTTTACGAATCAGTGTTTGTTTGTTCAGTAAAAAAACACGCAATTGCTAAAACTTAAAAAGAATATAAAAAAAAATCATTATTCATACAAAAATAAAATAGTTCTTGACAGGTTTATAAATCAGTGATATTTAGGAAAGCAAGTCTCACCTGTTGAATATTGGTATAAGTATGGTAGTCAGGATTTGTAGAACTATTTCTTTTTTTACTTTTCCTTGTTTACCAAATCCAATCATTTTGTGTTTCTGTCCAAAACCAGGAATTAAATGACAAGTTTGATCGGATTTGCAAGATTTTGTTTATTTTCTTGAATGAAGAAATCGCAAGAATTGCCCAAAAACAAACAATTTTTCATCTGAAAGTTTAGAATCAGACAAATTAATCACGCACCTCTGCCGCTTTAGTACAGTAAATTCAACCTATATAAAGCATAAAGTCTGACCGCGTCAATCTTGTTGCACCAGCTAGTCCTGACCATAGAGCTAGGTACAGTACAAACTGGAAAGGTTGACCCTCCTCGGAAATTCAAATGTACTACGGCTGCCCGTGTAATGCAATTGAGAAGAGTTAGGTTCACGAGTTAAATTTGATTTTATAATTTTGAAAATAAATTTTGGCAATTCAGTTATTTGTTTAGATACAGGGTAACCCACAAAGGATGAGACGTCAGAGACAACTCTACGGATGAATCATACCTTTTATGTCCCATGCAGCTCTCTAACTTGTTTCTTTTTAAAAAAATCAAATTGTCAACAATTTATTGACTTTATTCAAAGCAGAAGCTTTAATTTAACCTTGAGTTCGTCATATTTTATAAGTTTTACGTCGTCTTTACAGTCTCATCCTTTGTGAGTAATCCTGTATAATAGCAAACAAACAACCGAAATCTCTAAGGTCAATTCATAAAGGGGCCCACTAAATTTTGTCAAAAACTCGAGTCAATTAATTTGTAAAATCAAAGAACGAATTCAAAGTTTTATATTTTATTATATTTTGATATGAAATGTTTTTTTTAATAATTTTACAATATGGAAGATGTATGTAAGGGTGTATGCAAAATTTTTTGTTTTTACAAGAGTTTTTGTGGTCAAAATCTGAATACATATTTACTATAATATTTGCTTGTTATATTTTATTTTCTATTAATAACGCAAATGTCAACAAAACACTATGTTTGTGAAGTGTTGTTTATAATGAGATTTTTGCCACAAATCTATCTATCTATCTTTTTATCAAATATAAAGAAAAGAAAAATGATTTTTTTCCTCTCCAAATCTTCTAGCTTTGGTTCTCTGTACCACTCCAACTAAAACAAATTCAATTTAAAAAATGCTACATTTTAACTTTCTAAATAAACCTTATCAAAGAGTGAAATGCTTAATCCACAGGGGTACACTTAAAACTCTATCTGAGTAACAATGAGAAAGATTCAGTCGTTTTCTATTCTAAAATGTGTTGAATCATAAGAATTCCTGTTTTGACGCTGCGCCACATAATTCCGCAAATACAATTTGCATGATCGAGGGACCATTTCTAAATACCAATTTTTATCTCTCAGCCTACGAATATATATATATCTATATATACATATATATATATATATTTCTAACTTTGAAGAAATAAATTTTAATTAGAATTCTCGAATGATTCTTATTTTTATAGTCTTAGTTACCCCAAGGAAAACTGAAATATTTCCTATATATATATATATAGGTACCAATGAAAATAGGACATGCCACTCTATTGTGGGAGGGCATCTATAATTAGGTATACTTCAACATCTAGAATTTTTAATAATTATTGTCATAATAAAACAAGACATTCATATGTTCCATATAGCCAACCTAACGGCTGGACCGAATCGGCTGAAATTTTTGTGGACACTCATTGGTGACTAATTCTAAAATTTTTCCCTTTTTTCAATATAGTTTCTTGTATATCATAAAATTGCCTAAAAGGAATTGAGCTTTTGCAACACACTCTGATTTTCTAAGTCCAATATCTTTACAACCCAATGTCGTGTAAACCTTAGATATTTTAAACTTAAAATTCTGTATTATCAAAAAATCACAAAAGTTTGTAATATCAAAGGTTTATATCATCAGGTTGCAAACATATAGCAATTACAAAATTTGAGTTTTGCAAGGAATCAATTCCTTTGAAGACAAAGGAATTGAGTATTTGCCACATAATCTGCTTTTCTAAACCCTATATCTTGGGATTCCAATGTCGTAGACCTTAGATATTTCAAACTATAAATTCTGTTAGATCAATTAATATAAGTTTGAAATATCAAAGATGTACGACATTGGGTTCTAAAGATATAGACATTATAAATTCAGAGTTTGTGGCAAAGACTCAATTCCTTTACAACAGAGTTATTATCATCAACTTTTGAATCATGAAATTTACATCTATAAGAGGTTCTATTATAAAGGATTATTATTAATTTTATATATTTAGAAGTCGGATTATCAAAATATGTCAACTATTCTCATTTTTCATCTTTTCATGAACTTTTCTAATTGTTATTTAGATAGATATGTGTGTACATAAAATAAATGAATCTAGATACAAAACATAATCCTGCAAATCTTAAGTTGAAGATTATGAACGCATTTTAAGGACAAAACTTTCGACTCACACATAGAAGACGCAAAAAATTGTGTCTCACGATAAATTAATCTAACTAGAAGGGGGTTTTATTTGATGTACTGTCTTGTTTTATCGTCTTTAAAGTTTGTATGTTTCTGTACAACTTGCATACATAAGCTGTCTAAAAGTCGGTTCTATACTATATTCAAATGATATGACATCTTCTTTAAATAAACCAACCTGCAGTTTTCCTCCGGTTTCCTCATCATCATCAACTCTTTTATATACTCCAACAGTCAGAATCCTGAATACAGTGGTCTTTAAAATAATGTGTAATACGACGAAGCATTTCGGAGGGAGAGCAAAAATTAGAAACTAGTGTAACAGTGGGCGAGTTTTGTTGATCTTTTACGATCAGCAATTCAAGGATTTTTTGGATCGCTGAGATCATAGCTACCAAGGGGAATCATGCCCCCTTCCCCCCCCCATGTTTAACCCTACGGTTGGACTTTAGAGTCCTATTTTGAATCCTAACGGATTTATTTGAGTTTGCATTTGGATTCTATAAATAACCCAAGCGACGTTGAATTTTCTGTTATCTTGAAGACCCAAGCGTTGGGGAGGGGGCGGAACAACCCCGGGGTAGCTAGGGTTAAATGCGATCCTAGGATGGAGCAAAATCGAAGGAGGAGAGTTAGTTGATCGTCAGCTCCCTTAAACTGAGGTTCCCTTGAAGAATTCCCCTATTTGATGAAACTGATTTGATTCATAATATTTAGTTTGTATAAGTATCGTTCGATTTAAAGTTTGTATTTTTTGTATCTTTTGTATATAAATATATTGTAAGAAAACCGACTCGTTGAATATTTGAGAAACTCAGTGCATTGCTTTATTGATTTTTATTCATATACAATACTAGTGTTACAAACAGTTCTCTCTTGCGATACCTCATCTATTCTTGAAGTTAAAGTTAGATTAAGAATATGGCTGGGCGTTCGTTCTTTCACAGGTAAGAAAGGAATTATCAAGAAAGATGCCATTGTTCCGAAAAAAATAACCAACACATAAAACGCGTTCTTATAAAAATTGGAATATTCTATAAAAGAACGAAATTGAACAAAGGGTAATTGGTTGAAAAGAACAATTTGGAATAGTTCTATCACTCAGTCCCCCCCCGTAANTTGATCAAGAACACAAAGAACGGAACGGGGATGGAACGATTGGAATAAGAACGAACGAGGAACAAGCAACCTAGCGGAAGGTCCTGGTTCTAATAAAAGGAACAAATGATCTAGCGGAAGGCCCTGGTTCTTGAACCAGGAACGAACGATTTAGCGGAAGGTCCTTGTTCTAGTACAAGGAACAAGCGATCTAGTGGAAGGCCCTGGTTCTAGAGCAAGAACGAACGATCTAGAGGAAGGTCCTGGTTCTAGTACAAGGAACAAACTATCTAGTTCTATCTGGTTCTAGAACAAGGAATAAGCGATCTAGCGGAAGGCCTTGGTTCTACAACCAGGAACGAATGATCATAGCGGAAGGTGCTGGTTCTAGTATAAGGAAAAAGCGATCTAGCGGAAGGCCCTAGTTATAGAACCAGGAACAAACCATCCAGCGGAAGGTCCTGGTTCTAGAACAAGAAATAAGCGATCTAGCGGAAGGCCCTGGTTTTAGAACAAGAAACAAACGATTTCAAAAAAACAAGAACACGCCCAGCCATAATTCAGGGGACACTAGTTCTAAAACTAACACTTGGCCCATTTCTTACACTGAGTGTTAGAAATGGGCACAAATTGAAGTTAGAGTGGGATTTATGTTGTGTGCAATGCCCCGGAAAATTCCAAAACAGAGAGAGGGGGATTGAATTTTGTAGATCCAGAAAAATAATTAAATTATTATTTATTTGGGGTTAGGTTAGGTTAAGACACTTTCAGGACCGAGCGCAGTGGCTAGGACAGGCTAGGGGCCGAGCGCTGCGGCCACGGGTTAGGTTAAGTAATGACACTTTCTGGGCTGAGCGCTGCGGCTAGGACAGGCTAGGGGGCCGAGCGCTGCGGCCACATTTTTTACATTTAAGACCCCGCCAGTTGACAGTCTCTATGCAGGCATCCCACAGATATTATTTTTCTGGATCTACAAAATTCAATCCCCCTCTCTCTGTTTCGAATTTTCCAGGGCATTGCACACAACATAAATCCCACTCTGCCCAAATTGAAAGACTGGGATTTTAAAATCCCAGACTATATCTAGAGTAAAAGTCGATGATAAAATCTATAACCAACATTTTATCAGTGAAAGTTAAAAGTATTTTATGAAGACTAAATTAACTACTAAATTATTTCTAAAATCTTAATTTCCCTATTTTATTTGTTAAATATAAAATAAGAGCATAAAGTTCATTTAATTTCCCGCATTCTGAATAAACAATTTCCCGGATTTCTAGTTAAATCTACATTGTAAGAACAAAATAATATTAAAATTTTTATTTCACGATGCTTTAATGATTATATTTTTTGTTTTACATTTTGTTTATATTTTACTTTATCATATCAAAAATCTTGTTTTGTTAAGTAAGTGTGTGAATGCATGAGCTGAAATCCGGTAATTGTTTCAAAATAGGGATGTGTTCGAAAATGAAAACCAATATAACCAAAAACTAATTCTTACACCTTATTTTTAGTTTAAAGTTGACATTTCTCGTTTCAAAAATTAGTTTAATGATATATACGCTTGAAAAAAGATAACTTTGCGGATTTTACCCATTTCTAACACTCAGTGTTAGAAAGGCCAAGTGTTAGTTTTGGAACTAATATCCCCTGGAATTGTGAATCCTTATTTAAACAACTGCCACTGAAAACGCTATCAAGTAAAGTTTGAACAGGATTTTGCCCTTCACTCCTTTCAATCCAATTAAAGCTATAAACGATCACGTTGCAGTTTACCAAAGGTAAAGCGTTGCGACATTTCATAGTCGACCCGGTCTTAAAACTTGATGCGAAACATGCAAAGTTTTTTTTCTAGTACACTAGAGAATTAGTTCAACTATCTTTACCTAAATCAACCCCCACTATTAATAAATTTCGACCTTAGAATAATTTAAGAATATACCTTCTACAGGTGGCAAATTCTAAAATTTAGAAAATTTAAACTTTTCACAAAACAATAATGAATTCATGACTTATAAGATGTATTTCTTTTAATTGAAAAAAACTTACTTCAGTTTCTTACACTGTTCATCAATCATTTCCTTCCAGAGTTTCTTTAATATTATTAGATCTATTTCTTCAGTATAACTCTCAATTATCTAAACAATATTATTAGATCTATTTCTTCAGTATAACTCTCAATTATCTAAACAAGAGTTTAATATTATTAGATCTATTTCTTCAGTATAACTCTCAATTATCTAAACAAGAGTTTAATATTATTAGATCTATATCTTCAGTATAACTCTCAATTATCTAAACAATAGTTTAATATTATTAGATCTATTTCTTCAGTATAACTTTCAATTATCTAAACAAGAGTTTAATATTATTTTTATCTATTTCTTCAGTATAACTCTCAATTATCTAAACAAGAGTTTAATATTATTTGATCTTTTTCTTCAGTATAACTCTCAATTATCTAAACAAGAGTTTAATATTGTTTGATCTATTTCTTCAGTATAACTCTCAATCACCTAAACAAGAGTTTTTTTTTTACAATATAATTAGATTTATTTCTTCAGTATAACTTTCAATTATCTGAACAAGAGTTTACTCTGAGAGACTTTGGGGTCCAATTTACAAGATGTTATCTGAAATATAAATGAGATCTATACCTGTATGATACCTATGGCTAACTTGCATTTATATTTAAGATTATTTGATATTCCCACAGACCAGGCAAGAGCTACAGCTAAATTATGCTTCTCTATTCTAGACACCAGAATATCTATATTCAGCATTTAACTTAGGAACCCCTGTCAAACTAATCAGAACTACACGAAAGATCGAAATCTTACATTATATATTATCTTATATAGGATTAAACATCCTAACTCATTCTTCAAAATGTATAGAAAATACACTAATGTTTTAATAGTATTATTTATGTTTTTTCTCATAATTATGCGTAAAATCAAAACTAGAATGGAATGAATGGTCTTTCCAAATTAAAAAATTATCTTTAAAAAAAATCCGCCTTAAAAATATTTTAAAAATATATTTTTACAATAGAAAGAACAACACAACGGAAAGTAATATATAATGATCTAAATGCTAAAATGAATACAAGAAGAAGAGATGCGAAGCACCTGAAAAACTAGTCTGAGCTGAAAATTTTAGAATGGGATATCCTTAATTCCGTTCTCTTAATTAATCTAGAGATTAATAACAAGAGGAGAGCAAGCAGAGATTAAGAGAGGATCAAGCATTAATCCCGAAATCCACCATTCAAAAGTTCCCAGCTCTGTACAATAAAGCTCTTCACTCACATATGTATTTATATAATATATGTGTGTGTTAGCTTATAGCTGGCTAAACGGCTGGACCAAATTTGCTAAAATTTGTTCAAGGAAACCCGAGGGTAACTTAGGCTAAACAAAATTTGTTTTTTTTTCATGATAGAATTTTTTTTTCAAACTCAGTTTCATTTTTGTTTCAATTCCAGGGACACTGCCGGGTACTTTAGCTGATATATTTATATTCAGTAAACTTTTCCGATATTCCTGTAGGGTTTGCAGCGAAGGAAACGTTTCGTGAAAAAATGCGAAAGTTTTTGTTCGCATTTCGTAAAATTTTTTGCGAAATTTCGCATTTTCTCGCTAATATATTTTTGCGAAAACCATAGGGGTTGAATCTGAATTTTGTCTGTATTAATGAATTTTCGTAAAATTTTGGCATTTTTTTTTAATTCCGAATTTTTACACGAAATGGATTGAAATGAAATTTCGCGAAAAATGCAAAATTTTTGCGAAACGATTTTTCCTTTTCGCTGTAAACCCTAATTTGAAGAAACAATTTCGTTTTTGCATTCGGAACATGTTGCATTTAGATGAAACGGTAGATTTCATGTTTTAAAATTGTATCAAAAGATTGCAAAACATGTAAAGTGGATTTAAAAAAACATGTCACACCTTTTTCTCTCAGAGACATACTTGTTGTCCAATCATAATGCAATTATCAGTTCAATCCTGAAGAGGCAAAGAGTATTTATTTAAAGCAGGTTTGACCAAATCCGATAATTTGTTTTCACACAGCCCTAACATCCTTAAGACATTATTGTATATTGATTTCATTATGATCGGGTAAAAATTATGCCTTTGAGAGAAAGAAGTGTTATGTTTTTTTTTTTGGTAAACCACCCTCCAATATGCTTATGTTTTTCCATTTTTTTTCGCCCCACCATGGCAGTAATCTGATCCAGCAATTACTTTTTGTCAACTTTTTATTGAGTTAAATTTTTTTCTTCCAAACTTCTAAGCTTTTGAGGAAATTATTGGGATTTCCTCAAACACTGATGTTTGGCGCTGAACCCAAAAAACGATTATTGAATAAAATAAGTAGTAAATTGTTTAATGAGAAGTGTAAAATGTGGGATTACTTATAACGAACTTGTGGGATCACAAACGAAATTATGGGATCCCAATCCAGAATAAGGGATCAACAACGAGATTATGGGATAACAAACAAGATTATGGGAGCACAACCGAGAGTATGGCATCCCAAACGAGATTATGGGATCCCAATCCAGATTATGGGAGCACAAATAAGATTATGGGATCCCAAACAAGATTATGGGAGCACAAATAAGATTATGGGATCCCAAACAAGATTATGGGAGCAAAAATGAGATTATGGGAGCACAAATGAGATTATGGGATCACACACGAGATTATGGGACCCCAATCCAGCTTAAGGGATCACAAACGAGAGTATGGGATCACAAACGAGATAATGGAATTATCGCCGCAAATCACAATTTTGTCATTTGTAACCCCTATATCTTTGCAACTTGATAGTGTAAACCTATGATTTTTCAAATTATAACTTTAGCATAATATTTAGCATAATAATAATTTATATTTTGCATAATGCATAGGTATCAAATATCTATTAACCCTATCTCTGCTGGGGTACTTGAAAACCAGGATATGCTGGGGGGGGGGTCAGTTTGACCCCCCCTCTAAATCCCATGTTTGATGTCCAAATATGACAAATGATACATCATTGGAAAGCTCTTGTGCTCTACTTTTAGAATCTGCAAAAAAATTTGCAAATTTGCAAAAATAGAATTTTTTATCGCAAAATTCAGTTATATAGTAAAAATGTTTGCAAAAAAAAATTTGCCCAAAAAATAAAAAAATGATACATTTTTAAAAAGCCCTTGACCATGCCATTTCAAATATGCAAAAATTTTTGCAACGTTTTAAATAACCTGATTTTTAATTAAGAAAAACTAAAAATATGCAAATTTCCTTTGACTAGTTGTTTGCAAAAAATTTGCAATTTTTTTCGCAAAACTTGTGCAATTCGTTTCCTTTGGTCAAAGGCTTTCCAAAAAGCTAAATTTTATCAAAATCTGACAAGTGAAAGAAGGTCAAAACAAAGATTTAGTTTGTTACAGGAAAAAGCGGTCATTCAGGCAGTGTGACTGAGGACTCAGGCAGTTAGTATTAAAGCCCGGTTTTAGGCCTAAAGGGAGGGCTTTGGGTATGTAGGAAAAGTCAGAAAATTTCAACCGCCTCAGACCAATACCGTTTGAGTTATGTAAAAAAAACTACAGGGGGGGTCAAATTGCCCCCCCCCCCCCAGCAGGAATAGGGTTAAATCAGGTTGCAAAGATATAGGGATTGTAAAATTGAGTTTTTTTTCATTTCCTTCCAATGATTTAAACATAAATATTCTGTCCTGAAAGTGATGACCCCTGAAGTGTTCTTGATCCCCTGAGAACTCAAGAAAGAACTCGAGTCTGGGCTGGAAAATAATATTAATAACATTGTTAACAAAATTGTTATTTGTCCTTTCATCTAATTCATACCATTTTCATGGTTTAATTATAAACTGGATAAAAATTGAGCTTTGCTTGGAGATCAATGTTATCAAACATTTCCGTGGTTCAAAATTTGAGGCAAATAGGTCGAGGGGTTAATGAGTTATAATCGGACATACTTGAGCATATCTATTTTATCAAATAGATCTCCTGTATCGGCGTTGGGACATTTCATTACATAGACAGGATATTTTACAGATAGGACTCTTCATAGATAGGACATTTTATAGATAGGACGTTTCATAGATAGGCCATTTTATAGATAGGAGTTTTCATATATAGGACATATTATAGATAGAACTCTTCATAGATAAGACATTTTATAGAAAGGACTTTTAATAGATAGGACATATTATAGATAGAACCTTTCATAGATAGGACATTTTGTAGATAGGACTTTTCATAGATTAGGACATTATATAGATGTTAGGTACTTTCCCAAAGGCCTTTTCCCAAGCGGCAACTTCCAAAGGGTTAAGTTAGGCCTTCTGAGGCGCCACAGGCTGCAATAGATCCGAGCAATGCGGCTAGAATGAGCTAGGTGGCCGAGCGTTGCGGCTAGGACATACGTGGGAAGTTGCCATTTGGGAAATGGCACATTTGGGATGCTGCCACTTACGAAAATATCCTTAGGATGTTGCCGCTTGTGAATACCTAACATGATATTATAGCGAGGTCTTACATTGCAAAGAAAAATAATTTGTTTAAAATTTATTTTATTAGACAAACACTGTTATTTCTACAATATTTCTTCTTCACTTTTAAAACTGATAATAATTTGATTGTAGACATCTTGTTAGCAACATAGCAAAACATATATAAAAATTCATTTAATTTTTATATTAATTTTTACATCTAAAAATCAAACTTCTTCAAATTGGAAATATTATTGGAAATCTAAGAAATGTTTTTTTTATCTACAGTAATAACCAGAAAACTCTGGAATAGTAAGACGACTTTTAGAATCAAGTTTTAACTTTAAAAAGTTCAATGACGACGAAACACAGCAATAATGCAGTGTAAAAAGACCCATTTCACAAAAATAGTGGTTTTATAAGTGTCTGGTAAAACCATTTGCTTTGTAACACCATCAAATACACTTAAGTATTGCTATAAAGTCGTCTTCTTATTCCATTGGTATCTGGTTATCACTGTATGCAATGTGTCAATCTATGAAATGTTGGTAATGTCTATGTAAGAAATGTTCCAAAACCCCGTATATCACCTGACAATACAGGGGGTATCACCTGACAATACAGGGGGGATCACCTGACAATACACGGGATATCACCTGACAATACAAGGGGTATCACCTGACAATATCTCCTGTATCGAGGGTGGATAGGTCGCCATATTTCTTCATATTGAACAAGAAAACATCAGATTTATTGATAATCTAAAAATTTTATTAAGTAAGGCCCAAAAAACTGTGTAAGTTATGATTTAAAATAGTCTAATGAAGATGAAATACAATCATTGTGCAAGTACACAGACCTATTTGTTACTCAGCTACAGATAAAACCAAACAGATTCTAGTACAATAGATGGCAACGTAAAATGTGTACACTCTCAGACCTCAGTACAGTTGTACTCTTACCTCACAAGTGTTAACTTAGTTTTTGTGTCCGACAAAATTATTAATAATAGTGATAATTTAAGAATAAAAGTTCTTATAAAAAATGTAATTTTATGTGTTCTTTATGTTCTGTTTTTACACTTTTTTATTAAATCTTAGAAAACATGTCAATTAATGTGAGAAAATTTCGTTTTCCTTGTTATTTTTGACACTTGTGACGTTGTGTATAATTGGTCTAGTTCTCTGTTGCCACCTATTGTACTAAATAATCTATTTGGGTAAAACTATTTGTTATTTTAACAACATCAAATACACATAAATTTGTTTAATGTCTTCACTCTATTCCAAAGCTTTTTAGGTCACACAGTATTTTTTTTTTCATAAACACTAAGTGATTTATATAAAAGAAATTATTTAGGATTAAATGATTTTAAAATAACTAATTTAAAAGTTTTCAGATTTGTTAATTAAAATATTTTCATGTTGTATAAAACAATAAGAACAGAAGAAAGCAAACACTAGTGTAATTAAATTATAAAACAGAGATTACGATTTTGAAACAGTTTTTGGTCCTTGAATAAGGAATCCTAATAAATCATGGTTTCCTTGTTAATCCCCTATGGTACAATTACAAATCATTCAAATTTAAATAAAAATAAATACAGCAGACTTGCAGAAAAGTTGCATTAAGTTTCAAGACTGAATCCACTTGGCCTGCCTTTTTATATTACCTCTAAACTTTTTTCTAGCATTAGACATGTGCAATTTAGAATTATGAAGTACTTGTTTTTAGCGTAATTGGCAAAATTCTCAACGAGTTTAGCGTAAGAGCTTGTAACCTTTGGATCGCAGTGAGATAAATTGAATTAAACCGATGACGTTTGCTAATGTTTGTTGACATTTATTTTCTCAGAAAAAAATATGTCAGAAGTAAAACAGGCACCTAAACCGGGCACAGCTTGTTGGCTCAAGCACTCTCCGCATAAACCCACTATTTATTCAGTCAGAGTATTTCAGATGAGTACGAACGATGAGCTTAGTTTAGGGTGCTGTTATTTTTGACACTATTATATAGCTAAAAACTGCTTGACTTTTTAAAATAAATGTTTAATTATCCATTGCTTCTTTATTATTTGAGCTAGAGATCTAAACAATCAATTATTTGATATTAAAACATGTGTCGTCACTGTCACCCTTTATAAATATTGTCAAAAACAAAAATTTCATTTGTTCTTTTTTTCCGATGTAAATTTAGATTAATTTAGATTTCATGTAGATACTATAGATACATTTTTATCTATCGAGACAACATTTTGATAAAATGAATAAAAAATACTTACTTGAAATTTAACCGTCTTTGTATTAAGTAATCTAGAAGCTACAGCAGATATTCCCTAAAAAAATACGATCAAATTGAGTGTCTGAAAAAAAACGATTGCTGTTTGAAAACACCAATTGTGTACTGTGAACATGAATCAAACTCCTGAAAGCCAAAGTTGACATTACTTGAACACACTGCCCAAAATTTATCAAGAATATTCATCGAAAATAATAAAATAAAAACATATTTTACGGTCAAAAGCGTTCTCTCTTTTTAGAAACTTTATGGCAAAAAAGTTGAAAAAAACTATTCACTTACCTTAGCAGTGTCTGCACCGAGGGCGCCTAAACCAGAAGAGAAAAATTATCAATTGAAAAAACAATTTAGCTTTGTTACAGATTTATTACTGGCTTTTTATTTTAAAAATGCTCCTAAAATAAATTAAAAAACTGGCAATAAAATGAATTGAAAAAATTGCCAATAAAATTACTTAAAAATGTGCCAATAAAATAAATTGAAAAAACTGCCAATAAAATGAATTAAAAAAACGGCCAATAAAATGAATTGAAAAAACTGCCAATAAAATGAATTGAAAAACTGCCAATAAAATGAATTGAAAAAACTGCCTATAAAATGAATTGAAAAAACTGCCAATAAAATGAATTGAAAAACTGCCAATAAAATGTATTGAAAAAACTGCCAGTTAAAATGAATTGAAAAACTGCCAATAAAATGAATTGAAAAAAAACTGTCAATAAAATGAATTGAAAAACTGCCAATAAAATGAATTGAAAAAACTGCCAATAAAATGAATTAAAAAAACTGCCAATATAATGAATTGAAAAACTGCCAATAAAATGAATTACAAAATTTTCTTTCCCATTTGGACGTACAAAGGATAAATGAGAACATAATTTCTTGCTAATTGAAAATCGTCTCCGATGTTTAAAATAATTTGCAGTATTTTTTGTCAACCAAATTCTTCTAAAAAAATAAACAAAAAATTCAGTTATTTCTAAATATTGCCTGCCTATTTGTGCTTTCAAAATTATCGGAGATATGAAGAGTTTATTTTTAGACTTATTAAATATAAAAAAATAGCCAATATTTTCTAATTCCAAATAAAACCAAGTTGATTTAAAGCTCAAAGTCGTTTTTAGATTTTCAAGAAATTTCACTTGAATTTGTTTTACCTAAAACTGGCATTCCTGCACCGTCCATTTTCTTAGGATTAGTCTCCGACTACTATCAGGGCTTCAGTATTCTAAGCAAATATTTATATTGTCTCTTTAAAATCATATAACATGGTTTTTCACATTTAATTTTTTAACCATATTCCTGCTGGGGGGGGGGGGTCAATTTGACCCCCCCATAGTTTTTTTTTTACATAACTCAAAAAGTATTGGTCTGATGCTGTAGAAATTCTCCTGCTTTTCCTAAGTACTCATAGCCCTCCCTTAAGATATAAAACCGGACTTTTATGCTAATTGCCTGAGTAATCAGGCACACTGCCTGAATGACTATTTTTTCCGGTAATAAACGACCGACTTCAGATTTGCTGTTTTTTTCAGATTCTAAAAGTAGAGCATAAGAGTTTTCAAATGATGTATCATTTGTTATATTTGAACATCAAACATGGGATTTAGAGGGGGGGGGGAGTGTCAATTTAACCCCCTAGCGTAACTTGGTTTTTAAGTACCCCAGCAGGGATGGGTTTTAATGACTTTTGAGCTAAAAGAGCAACTGAAGAGCCAGATTGAAGTGGTATTTAAAAAAACCTACTTAACAAATTTTTATCAATCTTGATAAAATGTCACCAAAAGAAAGGAATTGAGCCTTTGTCACAAACTCTGATTTTCTAATTCCTTTATCTTTGCAGTCCAATATTGTAGACATTTGACATTTCAAAGTATGACTTCTGTTAGATCAAATGATATAAGTTTAAAATATCAAAGGTTTATGACATAGGGTTCAAAAGATATAGGGATTAAAAAATCAGAATTTGTAGCAAGGACTCAATTCCTTTCACTCCAATTTTCAGAAAAATTTCTGTGAATTCATTAAATGCAAGTGGTTTGTTAGATACTATTTGAAAGGAATATTATATGTAAAGGAGCAGGTGGTAAATGGTATAATTGGTTTTTATCATAAATCATGGAATATTTTCCAATTATTGATTTCTAACTAGAAGAGGGGAATCCGGAACTTGGAAAAGAATTTCCAGCTCTGTTTTTATTCTGATTTCCAGCTCTGTTTTTCTTCTGATTTCCAGCTCTGATTTCCAGCTCTGTTTTTCTTCTAATTTCCAGCTCTGTTTTTCTTCTGATTTCCAGCTCTGTTTTTATTCTGATTTCCAGCTCTGTTTTTCTTCTAATTTCCAGCTCTGTTCTGGTTTTCTTCTGATTTCCAGCTCTGTTTTTATTCTGATTTCCAGCTCTGTTTTTCTTCTGATTTCCAGCTCTGTTTTTATTCTGATTTCCAGCTCTGGTTTTCTTCTGATTTTTACATTTTTTGCTGTAAATTTGGAAGGGGACTCAAGGGGAGCTCAAATAATCCTGGGAAATGTTTACGGCTGCTAAAAGTCAACATATTTTGTTTCCTAATAATGTTTAAACCGATCAGTCCTAACTTTTTTCTGGCAATCTTCATTATCCGAGAGAAGCTTTTTGACTGGTCGAAATTCAATAATTTACTTAGAAAAATGTTATTATACATTTTTGGAAATGCAGGCCAACAGAAAAATCAGCTGTTTAGCTTTACAATTTCGAACGAGAATTAAAACTGGAAAAACAACACTTTAAAGCTAAAATTGTGCTAGAAAAGTGGTTCTAGCTACCCTGGAACCCTAGTAATTATGCATATTGATTTACATATATATGATATTTTCATAACTCTAATTTTCATAATTCCTTACTTTTCATAACTTATACTTTTTCTTCATAGAAGAATTATATCCATCAGGAAATAATCTCATCAGGATGGTATATATTGGAATCTTGCGGAGTTTCAAAAATATAAAAAGAATGAAAAATTATTTTTTAAATATTAAACATTTTTGAAATACTCGAAGTCAGGGAAGGAAAGCTATAAAATACATTTATTTTAAATTTTTTTAATCTTTGTTGCTTTATTTATCACCTAACTATATATATAATCAGTTTCATCTAAAATAAATTGGTTTGTGTCGTGTAAGGATTACGTTTAAACTGTTTCTGTTTCAGTAAAGGAGAAAACTTAGCAAATGAGAGTAATCTGATAAAATTACAAAATTTCCATTTTTCTTAAATTAACTTTTTTTTCAGAAAAAGTAACATTTTCTGTGAAAATCATACTTTTAAGGTTTTTTCTTGAAGTTAAAAAGAAATTTTTTAATTTTAAGAATGTTTTAATCTGAGCAAGTTCTTATATTTAATTTTCCTTCTTTCTATATTAAACTCTTAATATAAAAAGTAATGCACTCATAGTGTAAAGGGATGAGAAATTTATACTTTTTTTCGGACAAAAAAAGCCTTGGCCTTTTTTTAAATTCGTCGTTTTGTAATGATGAACTTATAATTTGAAAATAAAATTTAATTCAAAAATGTACAAGATGTTTTTGATATTGATAATAGAAAAATATAGAAAATACTGTTTGTTTTAAGTTTGAACTAAAGCAAGAACAGTAAAATGTATGTTTTAAGGTTGAACTAAAGCAAGAACAGTAAAATGTATGTTTTAAGGTTGAACTAAAGCAAGAACAGTAACATGTATGTTTTAAGGTTGAACTAAAACAAGAACAGTAAAATGTTTGATTTAAGGTTGAACTAAAACAAGAACAGTAAAATGTATGTTTTAAGGTTGAACTAAAGCAAGAACAGTAAAATGTATGTTTTAAGGTTGAACTAAAGCAAGAACAGTAAAATGTATGGACTTATATTTGAAAACTTCTCTGGTTATATAAAGGTATAATTAAACATAAATACATAACAATGATTTCAATGATTCCTTAAAAGCAATAACAGAAACTCAAATTTAATCGAAGGTCTAAAAATGTTGATAAATAACTGTCAGAGTTGTCTAGATTTCAGTAACTCCCATAAATGCATAAACTCAATATTTTGTTTAGGTTAAGTATGGAGAGGAGGCCTGGGATAATGTTAGAAGATTAGCAAACATTGATACTCCGACCTTTTCCATTCATCATGTACGAATTAAAAAGATAATTGAACACTCACTCGCCACAAATTCGAATGTTATCTTTACATTTACAACTATTTGTAATAGACCTCTGATATTCAAACTATAAATTCTATTGATCAATTGTTCAAGTTTTAAAAAAGGTTTTAATTAGTTGTAAAATATATTAGACAATTAGGGTTCGTGGTTAGTATTCAATTCCTATTTGTGATTGTTTAGATTACAAATTTACAATTGTATTTGTGAATTGTGCCGTTTAATTAATAATCTGAGAAATAATTGTTTAGATATTTTTATTCCTCCTGCAAACAAATGCCACTTGCGACAAGCCAATCGTAAAGGAATTGATTCTTTGCCACAAATTCTGATTTTCTAGTCCCAATATCTTTGCAACCCTGTGTCATGTTGTAGACCTTAGATATTTCAAACTTTGAATCCTGTTACATCAAATAATTTTAGTTTGAAATATGAAAGGTTGTGTAATCAGGTTGCAGAGACATAGGAATTAGAAAAATTTTACAAATTTTACAATACAAACTCGAGCAAGTATAAACTGCTGAAATTTACCTCTATTCCATCTAGAAACTCTTGAAATCAAGGATCATGAAAAATTTCTTGATTGTGTTTTATTAAAATCATTTTTAATGAATCAGGACATTTTTTTCTTATTATCTGAAAAGATGCGAGTCTTTGCTACAAATTCAAATTTTCGCATCCCTATTTCTTTTTAACCTGATGGTTAAAACTTTTGATATTTCTATACAAAACCTGAATATGTGGCAAACACTCAGTTCCTTTTCGTACTTTTTAGATGCAAAGAAGAACACCTAAGTTTTCAAGATCAAAAATTCTTATCAATATTACACTTACACACTGATCAAAGATGGTTTTTACTGTTTCCGAATCCCCCTGTCACTTCCTGTTCTTTACAATATTTTTATTTCTCTTTGTATTTTCCGATATTGATAATACTCAATGGTTCTTTCTGTTCACCAATATTATTCCTTTTCTTTCAAAGAATTTTCGGGCTTCATTATGTAATTATTATTATTTTTTAACAAATTTAAACGGCCAAAAACAATAATTGAGAAAGGAACTGGTTTTTGGACACTTACTAAAATTTTCTAATCTTTGTAACCTGATGGGGGAAACCTTGACCATGAGATAGGAAGACAACTTTTGGAGCCAATTTATAACTTTTAAAAGGTTCAATAAGCATAAGACACAAAAATTTGCAGCGTAAACAGACCCATTTAACTAGATTAGTGATTTAATAAGTGTCTTTACAAAAAAGAACATCCAAATCACTTGACCATTGCTATAATGTCGTCTTACTATTCCATTGTTTTCTGGTTAGCATTGTATTTATTTAAAGCTAACTTTTGTGCTTTAAAATAAAAAAGGTTGGTCTCACATTACCTTTTTAAAGAATTAATTTTAATCATCTACTTTTTCTTAGCGTTAAAGGAAAATATAGTTTCCGATTTTTAATATCCAGTTCTGCTTTTAAATATTTTTATTTTAAAGGAATTGAGTCTTTGCCGCAAACTCTAATTTTCTAATAATTATATCTTTAAACCCTAATCTTATAGACCTTAGATATTTCAAACTATGAATTCTGTTAGATCAAATAATATAAGTTTGAAATACCAAATGTTTACAATATCATATTGCAAAGATATAGACATTAGAAAATTGAGTTTGTGGCAAAGACTAAATTCCTATTCCAACTTTATATACTTTATATATACTTTATCTAGGTATACCCGGAAGTACTTCTAGGAAAGATAGCGAAGAAAACGTTCACTACTCTTGGATGCAACGCTGACGAATTCTTTGAAGGAATGGGATACTACTTTGTAGAACTTTGTAGTAAATACGGGTAATATATTCGCAGATTTTCAATTGGGAGAATTCGCGGATTTTTCTGAAAAGTCCAAATTTACAGGTAGTCAAGGGCGAAAGTATTGTTAGGGACAGAGATATAGCTTCAGAAGCCAGAGCTAAAATCTCTTGTATTGGATACATCAAGTGCTAAATTTCTGTATTGATATTGCAATCCACAATTCTAAAATTTTCAGCTCAAGTCAAAAAAGTTTTTATTTCTAAAACTCTTTTTTTCATACATGTATATATAATATAAATGTATTTGAATTTCCATTTACAAACTTAATTCAGTTTGTTGGCATTATTTGGCAATATTGGGATAAAAGGCTTTATAGTGTATCAGTACTATCGAATTATTCGGAAACACAGGAAAAGGGATTTAGCAAAGATCACAGTTTAAAATAAAAATTAAAATATTAAAATTATATATAATGCAAGTAAAATAGTAAATGTCAACACTTTTTGGAAGCAAAACTTTTTAAATTTTAACTGTACGTGTAACCTTCCGGCTTCCCTGAGGGGCTAGCGCCACGACAAATTTAGGCCTGATCGATTCAGCCGTTCTAATGTTTTTGGATTTTTGTAAAATATCTATTTTTACAGTGTACATATTTGCCTAGTTACGGAGATGTGCTTGCTCTACTGGGTCGTGAGCTGCGAGATTTTCTGAACGGTTTAGACAACCTTCATGAATATCTAAAGTTTTCATATCCTAGGTTAGATTATTAATTAAGAACTTTTATTTTTAAAAATAAAATTTTGTGTGTTGAAACTTGAAATATTTGAGATTTTGTAAAATTTTTGCAGAATAGTATATTTCAAATATTGTCTAAAAAAAGGAAATGATAAAATTATATATTTTAAAAATATATTTTCTAATCCAAATATGCAACCTAGGTTAGATTATTTTCAAAAATTTACTTTTGTGTTGAAGGATTTAAGTAGCTTGAAATAATTTATGTCGCTTAACATTTTTTTTGTAAAATAGTATACTTCAAATATTGTCTAAACAAAGGTAATGATAGCTTGGCAAAATTATATATTTAAAAAATATATTTTCTGATCCAAATATATTTTCAATCTGATGTTGTAGACCTTTGAAATTTCAAATTATGAATTCTGTTGAAACGAAAGATCTGAGTTTAAATTTATTTTAAATTTTACAGAAAAAGATTCCAGAGATATAGGGATTACAGGGGACATTAGATCCAAAACTAACACATGGCCCATTTCTAATACTTATTGATTTTTTACAAGTTATCAGTTCCTTTAAACAATGGCACCATTAATATATGAATGTGTATCATTATTAGTGTAAAAACAAATCATTGTAAAATTATAGAAAAAAATAAAAAATATTATTAGGTTGCGAGCCCCGTCCTATTTTGTTGACAATGAGACTCCAGAAGGATTGATGTTACATTACAGGTATAAACCAAAATGTTTTAGAATTTAAGTCAGGACTCCCCCTCCCCCCTTCCCCTCTCCTTAGTTTAAGATAAAGATATTACTTATTTCTAGGTTGGCATATGCAAAAAACGACTCGAAAACTATTCAAATACTTTGGCAAGAATTATGCAACAACGAACGTTATGTAATGATAGTCATTGGATCAAATTACCATTTTTTGAGGTGTGGGGGAGGGGGGGTAATGAAAGCAAACTTGTATATAATACAGTTTTAAAATCTTGGAACTTCTATCAATTAAAAAAACGATCCAAATCGTTTAACAAAACTAGATTAAATAGATAGTCAACATGAAATGGCGTCTACAGTCCCCTTGGCTAAATTTGAAAATAAAGCCTTTAATTGTTCTAGGGTAAAAGGATTTTTAGATTTTTGCGGATTTTAGGTCAAAGCGTCGTGGATTTACGAACTATACTGTCGGTCAGCTGAAGGCTGTGTCAGAGACCTATTACAAAACTGAGATTCAGATCGAAGTCAAAGATTCGCAGATTAAATTCGATACTGTGTTTGTTTCTTTCCAGGTAATAATATTCATGTAATTTTTTGAATTAGTATCAATATAATGGATTGATAATTTTCCCATAAATAATTTTCTATTTATTAAAATATTAATTTATTTATCAAATGTAAAAATACAATAAAGAAATGAAAATTGACTTGTTCATCCTTCACTTCCTATAAAATAAAATAAAAACTATTTTTTAACAATTTTGTTTAGTTGACGTTTGACAACAAGAGCAAGGTTGTCATGAACTCTAACTTAGTGAGGGAGGAAGCGAGGCTTCCTGCCGTATCATCATCTGTTCTCTTCGAGATATTTCCGTTCATCATTGTGTTCGGAGAGGATATGGTATCATTATTATACTTGTTATTATCAACAGTATTTCTAGTAGTTTTAGTTTTATTAGTTTCATTATTATCATCAACCTATTCGGGATCTTTTTATGTATCATTATCATTATGGTTATCATCAGTAGTAGTGTCATCATTGTTATCATTACTAGAATTAGTATCATTATTTAATAGCAGCATTATCATCAGATTCATCGAAGCGTGGGGGGGAGGGGGAAGGAATTAATATAATTAATTGATATAATTATTATTTTATTTAGGTTGTTCAATCAATTGGGAGATCATTGACCCAGATTCTTCCAAAGCTTGTTGGAGCAAAGATGAACGATTATTTTGACGTTGTGCGCCCTCTCATTGAATTCAAGTAATTTTATCATTTACTCTCAGAGTACCGCCACGGAATAATCATAAAATCATAATTTATAGACACCAAGCGTTAGTAAACGGGAGCAAATAAGAATTATAATATAAACATGGGCAACGTTGCGCACTCCAGCTAGTAAAGATACAATATTGAAGAAATTTAAACAATTTTGAATTGTTCATAAATCCTGATTATGGATCAAAATTGTTCTTTCAACCATGAAGCTTTTCAGTATAACATTTCAATTAAATAGTTTTTGAGAATTTCTCTATTTTGAAAAAATAAAATTGTATTCTAAGAGCTTTTAACTTCAACACTAAATAGAAAAATACAGAGAGGGGGGGGGGGAAACAGAGGTTCCGAGGGAGGGGGGGAGAGAAGCCAAAATTTGTTTATTGTAGTTGGCATAGGGCATAGTCTGTTGAGAAAATTTGTAAAAAAACGTCTTTTTTAGTTTATAATTCAGACTGGAAAAAAATAAAGCTCGTTTTAACAACGCAAATAATGGGGGTGGGAACATGGAAATTAAACCTCAATAACAGCAGGGGAGGGGGGGGGGGCAGAAGATAAAAAAAAATAAAAAACACATAATATGAACAAAAAGGAATTTGGTCTTTGCCACCCACTGATTTTCAAATTTCAATACATTTGAAACACAATGTCGTAGACCTAGGGTTTCCAATCGGAATTCCGTTGCGCGGAACTGTGCTCGTATTTTGCGGAATTTTACGGAATTGTTCGGAATTGCACGGAATTGCGCAGAATTACCTAAAAATACAAGACTCACAAGTAAAATACACTTGCGGTGGAAATCCAATGTAGACCTTAGATATTTTAAACGATAAATTATGTTAGTTCAAATCAGAGTTTTACACCATCAGGTTGTAAAGATATAAGGATTAGAAAATTTTTATTTGTTACAAGGATTCAACTCCTAAACGCCTATTGAAAATTGTTTAAACGGAAGTCAAATGACTTGAAACTCATAAGATGCGACAATCACTAGGTTAAATTAGGTCTTCTACCTTAAATGAAGTCTTTAAAAGACTTTTTTGATAATTTTGCAAAAAAAAAACACAAATACAGTTGGAGGGAATTCTGAATTTTAGAAAACAGTTAGAACACTTTCGTACAGTCGTTTCTGAAGTCTCGTCCTTTGTGGGTAACCCTGTAAATAGCCAGCTTTTTCGTATCAAAATAAACGCAGACTTCGGAGATTTGATAGACATATTAGAAGGAAATATAAGCATACTATTTTAGGTTTGACAATATTCTGAGTCGATCCAACAATATATTCGAACTCATGACAAATGAACCCATTGACAAGTTGCTAAAATCAGGAGGTAAGGGATCACGTCTAACCAAAGTAAATCTAATTTTTTAAACTCCCCTTATTAAAGATCTATTAATAAGAAAAATTATGTTAGAAATTTCTATTTTGACACCGGTGGCCGAATTTAAAAAATTTGAGCGGCAGTTTAAATTTAAGCCGCGGCTTAAATATGGTTAGTTCCGCTTAAAATTGTATCAAATGTTTCAAGATTTCTGCCGGCGCTTAATTTAAACCGGGTTTTGGAAGATTTAAACCGCGGCTCAAATTCTTTAAGTTCCATCTCGAATATATTTTTTTGTGCGTAAGATCAAAATTAGAAGAGCTACGAGGTCACAAAGTATTTGGAGGATTGAGAAATGAGCAGGATTGCTTTAAGCCAAAAAATTTTAATTTACCTTTACTCTTCCATTTTTAGAGATAGTTTTTTTTTGTAAACGTAAAACCTTTTGAACACTTTTCTGCAAAAAAATATCATTTGGTCTTATGCTGTTTTTACATTAAACAAAAAATAATCAAGATGGTGTTATTAATTGATTTACATCATTGTTTTTTTTCAAATATTTTCCTTTCTGTATAAGATTTAAATCATTTAAACGATATTGCACATTGTGGAGTTTTAGCTTTTTAAATTCTAAATATCATTTAAGTCATATTATCTATGATATATATTGAAATCTGATTTAAATACTTTACATCTATGATAATTTTTAAAGCAAAAAAAGGCAGACCACAATTTGGAAAATGCAAATGTTGGGGACATTTTGTGTTACCTAAAATGAATATTGTCTAAGGGGCACTAGGGGGAGAGGAAGAGGGTGAGGGGGATGTTACCTAAAATGAATATTGTCTAAGGAGCACTAGGGGGAGAGGAAGAGGGTGAGGGGGATGTTTACTAAAATGAATATTGTCTAAGGAGCACTAGGGGGAGAGGAAGAGGGTGAGGGAAATGAAGAAAATCTGATGGAGGAGGAAGTAGATAACTTCCTGCACTTGAAGGTAACCATATTTACTTATTACAGTGGTCATCAGAAAGCACTGGAATGAAAATTTTTTGCCTTTAGTTCTATGTATTGTCGCGAAATATTTTGGAAAGTAACATTAATAAAAATATAAAATTTTAATAACTACTAATAATAACATCCTTGTTAAAATTTATTTCAAAGAAAGAACGAAGACGACTGACATTCCACTATTTTTAAATTACCAATGTTCCAAGAAATCTGTATTCCAGTGCTTAAAGGGAATGTAAACGTAATTTCAAGTGAACATCAAAACTAACAAAGATGTCAATGCCCTGTTCACAGAGGTAACATTAAAAGATTTGTCTTAATCATGAATTATATTTATTTATTACTGTTTTTAAATTTAAAAACTTAAATAAGAGACTTGTGCATTTCTTCTGCTGGAAAACACATAAAAATTATCAGATCACTTTAAACCTGGAAAGAATATTTTTTTCAAAATTGTCAGTCTGGAAGAATCTTAAAGATCTGACTTATGCTCAAATTTAACAAAAAGATTGAATAAAAAGTTTAAAGGGTACCTAAATCTGGCATTGCACTTCTTGCTTAAAAACTGTGCAAATATGTTATATTTATTTGAAAATAATTTTGTATATTCCTTTCAATGTAAAATTTAACAGTTTTTCACAACTTAAAAAAATGTACGTCATTTTGAACTGGATTTGGCAACAACAACCAAAACTGTTTTTTTACATGCATTTTCAGGATTCTAAAAACTGCAAAGCTTGTTTTACTTTGAGCTTTTACCGTTTAATTGCTATAGACATTGAAAAAAAAATGCTGCAAGATTTAAATTTGACCTATTTATATATTTTCTTTAAAATTTTGCGTAAGTACAATATCTTTCACAGTATTAATTAGATATAGGGTAACGTTGTGAATCAGGCATTTCATGGAGGTTCACGTGACATTACGCTTACAGTCCCATTAAAATATATATATATATATATATATATAAATACACACCTATACAGGGTCAGATGAACTTCATGGCTGACTGGAATGTTGTTATGTTTCTCTGCTCTCCTGCATTAAAGGTTAAACCATTATAAAACAATGTCACTGATCACTTGCCACAAACTCTATTTTTATAATCCCTGTATCTTTGCAACCCAAAGGTGAAGTTCTGTAAAATTCATACGCTTCCCATGGAATTAAAAAACACTAAAAAAGAATTTTGAATTTAAAAAAAATTAGAATTAAAAAAAAAATTTATTTTTGAAAATTGTACATTGTTGCGAAAATCAGTTACTTAATTTCGGTATTAAATTCTTGCAATTTTAATAGCTTACTTTTTAAAATATTTTTCCCTAATAAAATTGCATAGTTTTTTTTTGGGGGGGGGGGAGGGCGAAGGGGTTCTGAGTGAGATACAGGCCAAAGATTTTTTAAATCAGCGAAACACTTGCTGAAAAACCATTTTGTACGAACAATCAAGTATTTTTAATATTAACACTAAAACTAGAACAGGTCAATATTGAAAGTGAGGCCAAGAAGCGCATTCCTTAAATGTTAGAAAAGTTGTACTGTTCTATTTATAATGGAAAAAATAGAATAACACAAAATTGAAAGAAAACAAAACACAATCCGTTCTGTTCCCAGACAATGAAAATATTTATTTTAACAAATTGAAAGAAAATACGGGAAAACCGTTTTCTAACTTTTCCTAACTTCGAGAAAGTTAAACTAAAAAGAATTATTATTATTATTATTTCTAGGATTTACAAGGATTAAGTTTCTCTGGTTTATTTATCTGTGATCTGTCAATGCATGATTTCTCCAGAGATCTTCTTTTAGCAGGTAGGCGGAGTAGGTGGAGTAGGCGGAGTAGGTGGAGTAGGCGTATTAGGCGGAGTAGGTGGAGTAGGCGGTTTAGGCGGAGTAGACGGAGTAGGCGGAGTAGGCGTAGGAAGAAGAAAACAACATCGACTAAGTTTCGTTTCGGAGCAACAAATTACAAAATAAAAAAACTATTTTCTTTAAATTTTGTAAAAAAAATCTTTCAAAGACCGCCGTCGATCCATGCTTCGTTAGCAAAATGATCAATATATGTCTTTTGAGAAAAGTGATAAAGTCCCATCCCTAGAGGGGAAAGTGATAAAGTCCCATCCCTAGAGGGGAAAGTGATAAAGTCCCATCCCTAGAGGGGAAAAGTGATAAAGTCCCATCCCTAGAGGGAAAAGTGATAAAGTCCCATCCCTAGAGGGAAAAGTGATAAAGTCCCATCCCTAGAGGGGAAAGGAACTAATGAGTTCTCTGGTTGAAATAAAAGTTGGGCCTTTCTACCATCTGAAAAATCAGTGTATATTTTCCAAAAGTATCAGTCTGAGGCTGTTAAAATAAGTTACTTTTTTAAGTTAGTAAAAATTTGGAAAAAAATCAGAAATTACGTACTTAAAATGTTTGTTAAAAGTGAAAACGCATATTTTAAAAATCTAACAATTTCTTTGAAAACAGTAGATGAGAACCCTTTAATTATTTTCTTGTTTTATCATTCCAAATAAGAATTGTTCATGCTTTCAAATAAGAATTTTATCCAAAAAGCTTTCAGACAAGAATTTTTCTGAAACACGTGTTTTCAACTTTCAGAACTTTACCTAACAAGTTTTGAATGTTATCCAGCAAATCATGAATTGTTACCTTTTTACATAAAAAAAGTGTGAATATATAATCTTTTTTTAACTCTTAAAATCAAATATACTATTCACCAGTATTCACCTGGATTCAGGATATTGGTTTTATTAAGATTTTGACTCCAGGAAATTAAATTATTTCAAGTTTTGATTTTAAAAAGAGCAAGAAATTTTTCTTGATGTCGAAACTTTGCACGAAACTGAGTTCTTGCAACAAACACAAATTTTCTAGTTCCTATATCTTTGCATCCTTGTGGTGTAAACCTTAGATATTTTAAACTATGAACTCTGTTAGATCAAAAACTCTAAGTTTTAAATATTGATGGTTTAAACCATCAGGATCCAATGAAGGATTAGAAAATTTGAGTTTGTGGCAAGCACTCAGTTTCTTTGAATTTCACCAAAAATCACTGCTCCGTTTGCTTTGCAGTTCAACGGATTATGTTAATTTCTTTCTTCAATTGACCTATACGAATTACAACAAAATCTCCTTTCGACCAATATGCATGTATACGCGAATATACGAGTCAGCTGTTTCCTTAGATTAAAAGTCCGATGGATGCATTTAAATAAGCGTTATTTCATCAAAAAATGTCGACCTCTAATTTTGTATGAAATAAAATGTCGACCTCTGATCTTGTTTGATATAAAAAGTAGACCTCTGATCTTTTAGGACATAAAATGTCGACCTCTGATCTTGTTTGATATAAAAAGTAGACCTCTGATCTTTTAGGACATAAAATGTCGACCTCTGATCTTGTTTGATATAAAAAGTAGACCTCTGATCTTTTAGGACATAAAATGTCGACCTCTGATCGTGTACGATTTAAATGTCGACCTCTGATCTTTTATGATATAAAATGTCGACCTCTGATCTTGTACGATATAAAATGTTGACCTCTGATCTTGTATGATATATAACATGTCTACCTCTGATCTTGTAGGATATAAAATGTCGACCTCTGATCTTGTAGGATATAAAATGTGGTCCTCTGATCGTATATTATATAAAATGTCGACCTCTGATCTTGTATGATATAAAATGTTGACCTCTGATCTTGTACGATATAAAATATTGACCTCTGATCTTGTATGATATACAAAATGTCTACCTCTGATCTTGTAGGATATAAAATGTCGACCTCTGATCTTGTAGGATATAAAATGTCGTCCTCTGATCGTATATTATATAAAATGTCGACCTCTGATCTTCTATGATATAAAATGTCGACCTCTGATCTTCTATGATATAAAATGTCGACCTCTGATCTTCTATGATATAAAATGTCGACCTCTGCTCTTGTACGATATAAAATGTCGACCTCTGATCTTGTGTGATATAAAATGTCGACCTCTGATCGTGTATTATATAAAATGTCGACCTCTGATCTTGTACAGTGAAACCCTTAATAACGAATACATCGGAAGAATTTATTAAATGTCGTCTTGACAATTTTTCAATGAGTTTTGTACTATATAACATAAATTTCAGTATTTGCGAAAATAAATAAATAGCCAGGAATATGCGGGAACAGTTTTAAAGAGTTCCATATAATAATTGAATTAAAAATCCGTGCAGGGTGTGAAGGACCAATCCAAGTTTTGATATGAATGAAATAATCCTATAGGTTCGAAGCAATCCAAGTTTTGATATGAATTAAATAATCCTATAGGTTCCCAGCAATCCAAGTTTTGATATGAATGAAATAATCCTATAGGTTCCCAGCAATCCAAGTTTTGATATGAATTAAATAATCCTATAGGTTCCCAGCAATCCAAGTTTTGATATGAATGAAATAATCCTATAGGTTCCCAGCAATCCAACGACCTAAAGGGAGCTCTTGAGTCAGAAATGGAGAAAACTAAACTAATGGAAGAGAGTATGGCGAAGCTTGACGAAGAAATGAAACGCAGTGATCAGCTTCTGGCACAGATGATGCCAAAGTCTGTCAGTGAAAAGGTTGGTATATATGTAGTAAAATTCTAAATAAAGTAGACAAACAGATTTTTTAGGATACTTAAATGGACTGTTATAGAGCGTAGACGTTGGTTAAAGTGACGCACCATTTTGGGATTGGCAAGATATTTTCTTTTTTGAAACAGATTATTTTCAATTCTCCTATCTTGGAAAATGTGACTTGCGCATTTATGCTTTAGAATCAGAAACAATGAAACTTAGAAAACATGAATTAAACACTATTCAAGGTACAGGGCGTCCCAATAAGCATGGGAATTCAGTGACATCTTTTATATCGTCTTCGATCCAAGCGACATTTTTTCATAAACACAATCATTGCAGTATTCCAGCTTAAACATGTAATATCGAAAACGCCTGCTCTTGAGATTTTCAAAAAGTTACAAGAAAGGTAGACCACTTTATAAATAAATCGTTAGACACACAGCATCGTTTTTTTTTACTTTAGTTGCCATGTAATTAAATTACAGCAAACTTCTTTTTAATTGTTGATTTTAATTCGTTCTTAAACGAGATCTCGTTTTTCTTCCAAATCATTCGTTAAAGTTGGTTATTTTTTATTTATAGTTTATTAGTTTTTTTCAAAATTTGTCAAAATTTTGACAATCTTTAAACAACGTTTTTTAATTTGCTCGAAAACCATGTGTTCAGGTAAAGAATGGCGCTTCAACTGTGGAAACTTGTGAGATCTTTGAATCTGTAACAATCGTATTCAACGATATACCTGTGTTCGGTGACATCTGTGCTAAATGTGATGGTAATTTTAATGCTTGACTATTGTTTTTTAAATGATATTCTTGATTTTCTTCTTGAAAATTTATTACTTTCACCAAGATAATTCATAGTTCAATATAATCAGGCTGAAACATTAAAACAAATAGAAAAGATAAAAAGAGAGAAAAACGAGTTGCATCAGTTTGGGTTGATATTAGTCACAAGGCCTTTGTTTTTTTATACCACCTCATTTACTTACAAATACTTTTTTGCCCCAGATATATACGTTTTAGAGCCATAAGGGATTTGTTTTAGCCTTAGTTTTTGAGAAGTAATTGAAACAAATAATTATATTTTTTTTCCACGAGACTGAGAGCTTGCAACCTTGGGAAGATGATTGTTTGAGTTTGAAAAAGAATCAATGTTTTGAACAAAATACTAAAATATGTTTGATTAAATTGGTTTTATTTTAGGAATGTCAATTGTTCTGATGCTGAATGTAATGTTTGGAATATTTGATAATTTGTCAGACAGAAATCAAATTTACAAGGTATAGGATGTTGTTCAAAATTTACAAGGTATTTTATGTTGTTCAAAATTTACAAGGTATTTTATGTTGTTCAAAATTTACAAGGTATTTTATGTTGTTCAAAATTTTCAAGGTATAGGATGTTGTTCAAAATTTACAAGGTATAGGATGTTGTTCAAAATGGACAAGGTATTTTATGTTGTTCAAAATTTACAAGGTATTTTCTTTTGTTCAAAATTTACAAGGTTTAGGATGTTGTTCAATATTTACAAGGTATAGGATATTGTTCAAAATTTACAAGGTATAGGATGTTGTTCAAAATTTACAAGGTATAGGATGTTGTTCAAAATTTACAAGGTATAGGATGTTGTTCAAAATTTACAAGGTATTTTATGTTGTTCAAAATTTTCAAGGTATAGGATGTTTTGCAAAATGTACAATTTTTTTATGTTGTTCAAAATTTGTAAGGTATTTTATATTAATCAAAATTTACAAGGTATTTTATGTTGTTCAATATTTACAAGGTAAAGGATGTTGTTCAAAATTTACAAGGTATAGGATGTTGTTCAAAATTTACAAGGTATTTTATGTTGTTCAAAGTTTACAAGGTATTTTATGTTGTTCAAAAAGATTTTTTTCTTTATAGATTAATTTTCTCCTTTATAAACTGGAATAGATTCATTTTAAGTTTTGTTAGATCAAATAATCTAAGTTTGAAATATCAAGAGTGTACACCATTAGGTTGCAAAGATTTAGATATTTTGACAAATAAGTTTTTTACAAAAACTTAATTCCTTTATTAATTAAAATATTATATAAATGATACACAAATATACTTATATAATGGTGAAGTAACAATTTAAATAATTTTTTGATGATGAAACAGTTTAATTTTCTGTTTTTTAATTCGTATTTGTTAATTAATTTGTTTTTCGGCGATTTGTTAAATAAATTTATCATTATTATTATTGTACAAGTCACACAAAAATAATTAATAAATGGTTGAAGTATCTGTTGATTTATATAATCCAAATAATACAAATGATATTAATTGAATGCAAAAACCTATTCTTTTTGATTTTATAAATTTATTCTTAAAAAATCTTAAATCTAAAACTAGTTCTTTATCAATTGATCTTTCTACGATTTTTTTCAAAACTTCGATCGAAAGAATTTATAAAATATCGTTTTAAAGCTAATGATTATGGAATGCTGCAGATTTTTAGTTTTTTTTGTCTTTTTAAGTCTGCGAAGTTCTTGTAATTGTCGCTTTAGATCCTACAGTCATTTGAATCATTTTTTTACCCTTCAACCAGTTCCACCCCGAACTAACTGCAGAGTGAGCAGCATTCGGTTTCTACTATTTAAAATCAAACGTGTTTTGGTCTATAATTCAAGAACCTTTTACCTTACGGATTAGTTTATTTTATACTTTTTCATTTAAAATGCATATGGCGACAAAAAACGTATTTAAAAAAAGGCTAAAAAATGATGTTTAATGGGTCAAAATGTGATCGAAAGTCACAGCTTTCTGGAATATTGACATAACCATAAAATCACGTGGTTCATGATCTAGCTAGAATTCTACTGCCCTAGATTTTAAATTAAATGTTCTAACCAAAACAAATCTTCCAAAAGAGGCTAACACTTTAGTGTTAGGAATCCACCGTTAACGGTTGGAACTGTTCTTGATCACGAACACAACGAACATGACGGGAATGGAACGATTAAAAAAGAATGAACAATTTAAAAAAAGGAATACACCCAACCCTATATACCTAAAATAAAAAAGAAATAACAAGATAAAGTTTTGCACAGTTTAGCCGAGAAGTTCGAAGATTTCAAAAGCATTTATAAAATGTCCTTTCTTAGACATACAGATAATTAAATACTGCAGATATTTAGTTTTTTAATCAATAATTATATGGAGTTCTTGTGAAATTGCTCCAGCATATTTCATGAATGTTTATTTATCTTTATAATTACTGAGATTTAGGTACAGGGTGTCCCAAGAAACATGACAGTTGGTGAATAGTTTAAAATATCGTCTTCCATAATATATCAAGTTGTTTGCTACAAAAGAGAATAATAATAAATATTAGATGGCAAAAAATCTTTAATATCTAATACAGTATATGGAAGAAGACATTCAAAACTATTTACCAACTGTTATGTTTCGTGGGAAACCCTGTATAATAGTCTAAAACCTATTGAAAAATGGTAAATACGACATTTTATCAATTCGTTCGATATCTCCCAAGTTCTGAGTTTAATTGTAGATTAAAGCAAAAAGTTTTATCTTAATAAATTTCTAGGTTGAGACGGTTAAAGACTGTTTTGTTGGTGTTTGCGGAGCTCCTGAGAGGAATAACAACCATGCTGAACGTATAATGGATATGGCCATGGATATGAGAGATTGTGTTCAGGGATATATAAAATAAGCCAGCTGTAAAGATTCAAAAATAGGTCAAAAGCGGTCGGAACTGGGTTTTGTTATTCCCGTAAAAAAGCACTAATTCCTCCGTATTGGGATTCCAGTTCAACGGATGAAATGTTTAAAAATAACAACCTCTATATCTTTGTGTAAAATTTTCTTTACCCTTTTCCCCAAAACTTGTTAAAAGATTACATACCTGCTTGTGCTTTTATCATTCCTTTATTTTGACTTCAAAAGACTAAAGATACACACTCAAATATCACGTTTAACAGCAAAGACGACTTTAAGGTACAGCATAAATACCAATAAACAAAAGATTGGGATCTTGTTTATATCTCGTATTGCGTCAGTTTGTTCCTGATCCCAGGCCTGGGGTGGATTCACATATAAAAATCAGGTACAGGGTGTCCCAATAAACCAGGCCTGGGGTGGATTCTCATACAAAAATCAGGTACAGGGTGTCCCAATAAACCAGGCTGGGGTGGATTATCATATAAAAATCAGGTACAGAGTGTCCCACTAAATCAGGCTGGGGTGCATTCTCATTTAAAAATCATGTACAGGGTGTCCCAATAAACAAATTCGAGATCGTCGTTGTCAAGAATTAGCATTGAAAAATCTGATTTTAAAAGTCATAATATAATTAATGGATCTGCCTAGAAATGCCTAGAAACGGCATGGAATTGGTAAATGGCTGTATTAAGTGCCTGTAATGTCTCTGAAGATGAACATAATAAAGACTAGTTTCCTTTATGTTTGTAAAAAACAATTTTCTTGTTTACTAGATTCAACCGTATGCAATCAATACAAAGACAATCAAATTCTAAACTCTAGATGTCTAAAACTGCTTAATCGGAAGCTGAGTTTTAAACAGTCTTCAGTGTAATTTATGTTGTAATATAAAGCAAATAGTTTTACCTTGCAGTAATTATAGCATCTGTGTCCTCAATCTATAATCTGTGTAATCCTGTCATCTCTATATAATCTGCTTCATCTTGTCATCTCTATATAATCTGTTTCATCTTGTCATCTCTATATAATCTGTGTCATCTTTTCATCTCTATATAATCTGTGTCATTTTGTCATCTCTAAAATCTGTGTCAATGCTCTTTTCATCTCTATATAATCTGTGTCATCTTGTCATCTCTATATAATCTGTGTCAATGTTCTTTTCATCTCTATATAATCTGAGTCATCTTGTCATCTCTATGTAATCTGTGTCATTTTGTCATCTCTAAAATCTGTGTCATTGCTCTTTTCATCTCTATATAATCTGTGTCATCTTGTCATCTCTATATAATCTGTGTCCTCAATCTATAATCTGTGTAATCCTGTCATCTCTATATTATCTGTTTCATCTTGTCATCTCTATATAATCTGTGTCATCTTGTCATCTCTATATGATCTGTGTAATCCTGTCATCTCTATATAATCCTTTCATCTTGTCATCTTTATATAATCTCTGTCATCTAGTCATCTCTACTTAATGTGTGTCATTTTGTCATCTCTATAATCTACTCTTTTCATCTCTATATAATCTTTGTCATCTTGTCATCTCTATACAATCTGTGTCATTTTGTCATCTCTATAATCTGTGTCAATGCTCTTTTCATCTCTATATAATCTTTGTCATCTTGTCATCTCTATATAATCTGTGTCAATGTTCTTTTCATCTCTATATAATCTGAGTCATCTTGTCATCTCTATGTAATCTGTGTCATTTTGTCATCTCTAAAATCTGTGTCATTGCTCTTTTCATCTCTATATAATCTGTGTCATCTTGTCATCTCTATATAATCTGTGTCCTCAATCTATAATCTGTGTAATCCTGTCATCTCTATATAATCTGTGTCAGTGCTCTTGTCATCTCTTTATAACCTGTGTCAATGCTCTTGTCATCTCTATATAATCTGTGTCAGTGCTCTTGTCATCTCTTTATAATCTGTGTCAATGTTCTTGTCATCTCTTTATAATCTGTGTCAATGCTCTTGGCATCTCTATATAATCTGTGTCAATTGTCTTGTAATCTCTTTATAATCTGTGTCAATGCTCTTGTCATCTCTTTATAATCTGTGTCAATGCTCTTGGCATCTCTATATTATCTGTGTCAATTTTCCTGTAATCTCTTAACATAAAATCTTTTTATCTCTCTGTTTTTTTCAGGCTAGGTTCAAGCTCTGGTCAAGTTGTTGGTGGAATAGTCGGGAACAAATGTCCGAGATATTGTCTATTCGGTAAGCCATATCGGCCACTATATACATCAGGATTTTAAACACCATTGTCTATTCGGTAAGCCATGTCGGACGTAAGCCATGTCGGACACTATATATATCAGGATTTTAAACACCATTGTCTATTCGGTAAGCCATGTCGGCCACTATATACATCAGGATTTTAAACAATATTGTCTATTCGGTAAGCCATGTCGGCCATTATATATATCAGGATTTTAAACACCATTGTCTATTCGATAAGCCATGTCGGCCACTATATATATCAGGATTTTAAACACCATTGTCTATTCGGTGAGCCATGTCGGCCATTATATATATCAGGATTTTAAACACCATTGTCTATTCGATAAGCCTTGTCGGCCACTATATATATCAGGATTTTAAACAACATTGTCTATTCGACACTATATATATCAGGATTTTAAACACCATTGTCTATTCGGTAAGCCATATTGGACACTACATATATCAGGATCTTAAACATCACTGTCTATAAGGTAAGCGATATCGGACACTATATATATCAGGATTTTAAACACCATTGTCTATTCGGTAAGCCATGTAGGGTTTCCACCGGAATTCCGGGTTACGGTTTACGTACGGAAATGATCCGGAAATTTTTTCCATTTCCATTATGGAAAAGCTAATAAAAAACCAAAACAATTGTCTTTTAAAAATATCTCATCCATCCCCATCCTATCACACTTAAACTTTAAACCCATAATTTTTATTATATTAAGCCATGAAAAATGTTTTTAAGATGAAATACTTTTGTTTTGCTAGGAGACGCCATGAATACAAGTTCAAGAATGATGTCGTTCAGTGAGGAACAATGCATACATGTTTCTGGGTAAACCATTAGTCTTAACTATTCATATTTTAGGGTATTCCATTTTTATTCAGAGTTATTTTTTTATTATTTAGGGTAGATATTGATATTTCTGGGTAAGCCACATTTTAGAGAAAATATTCATATTTTTAGGGTAAACCATTCATATTTAATTCAGGGGAAAATATTCATAATTTAGGGTAAACCATTTTTATTTCAGAGTAAATTTTTCATCTATTATTTTAATAAATATTCATATTTTAGTGTCAAATATTCATTTTATAGAGAAAATATTCGAATATTTCAGGGTAAAAATTAATATTTCAGAAGAAAATATTAATATTTTAGCTTATATCATGCCGGGTAAACATGATCATATTTCACAGTAAATCTTTTAATCTTTGTGACAGAAACAATCTCAAGAACTGGCGAGGGTTAACCCAGACTGAAATATATTTTTAATAAATGTGGAACTAACATCTACTTTTTTTACTCTACAGAGGTTTGGTCCATCACCATTCACCATGACCGAATTTTAAATTAATCATATTTAAGAAAACGAAGATTTCTATTCAGTGTATCTAAGCTAAATGCTTACAGGATTCCATTTTCAATGTTTATATTTTGCTGTGACACATTAATTCGGATTTTATATTAAAAAATGTATTTTAAAAAACAATATCCTTAGAGCAACGAAGGAGCTTCTCCCCCCTGCCTACTCTGTGAAGGAGAGGGGGAAGATGATGATCAAGGGGAAGGGGGAGATGGTCACCTACTGGGTTGAATCAAAGGCTAACCGGGTACCACCAACCAAAGACGAGGTATAACACTAAATCAGGAAGACAGGTACAGGCTGTCCCAAAAAACATGACAGCAGCAAGACAATTTAGGAATTTAGGAATTAGGAATATTTTGTGAGAAGTAACTCTAGAATTTTAATTATAAAATTTGTTTTGTTTTTTAGTTTGAACCAAATTGTTAAGTGAAATGGGTCTGAGTTTAATGCACAATTGCTGTTTTTCATGTTTATGGACTTTTTTAAATTATAAGATAAATTCGTCTTCCTAAAACCCATTAAATAATAAGAATAAAGTTACAAACGCATTAGATATGTTTGAATAGGGATAAATTATGTTACTAAAAACATCTAGATAAAAAATTTTGTTTTAGGTTTATCCTCAGGAAGCAACTAAACCATCTCAACCTGCAGAATAAGCTACAGTGTTGCAGAAACTTAATCAATGAAAAAGAAATAATTACACTATATTCCAATGTTTATCAGTAGGTAATAAGTTACCTAAAATTACCGCTAAAGTGTCCCTAAGTTTTCGACGTAAAACGATAAAAAGATTCTTTATGTTATTAGTATCTGGCACTCATGGACATCTTTAAGCTGAAAAATTGGGATATTTTTGTGTTTCTTTTTTCACATATGTAAAATATCCTTTTTAAAAAATCAGTTATTTAATGGAACTGTCAATGTATATTTTAGTGAAGAATCTTTATTTGAAAGCTAGGTATTTAAATATATATGAAAACCTTTTCGTACCAAATAATACCCTTCTTAAAAATAAAGAGTTTCCTTAAAGGGAGTGACCGGCTATGTAAGGTAGTTGAACTGAGTATGCAGTGTTATAGAAAACTTCTTTCGGATTCATTTGAGACATATTAAACTTTTTAAAGATCTCTAATTGATAAATTTGTTTAAAAAACTAATTTTAAAAACTTATCCACCCCCAAAGTAGGAGTTTTGAACGTCGAATTTGCGCTCAAACTCAGGATTTACAGATCTTTGTCAAATGAATCCTAAATAATTTGTCCACAACACTGCATACTCCGTTCAACTACCTTACATAGCCGGTCACTCCCTTTAAATCAAGTTTGAAACCTACTTTGGGAAATATATTCCCAAGATATTATATATATATATATATATATATATATATATATATATATATATGTAATATGTATGTATTTATATGTTATTGGTATTACAGTTTTTATGTTTATTTAAAATTGTATATTTCAATGTTGGACCCTAATAATCATATATATTCTAGTAAATAAGTAATTATCTCAAAACATAATAAACATTTTAAAATCTTTTGTGTGTTTTAATTCGATTAACTCTGAAAAGTAAAGATAAGAAAAGCTGGATTTTATTAGTAGTAATTTTTTCTGCCGAAAGCCATTAAGTTTTTTTTACTTCCCCCCTTTTTATTTATTTTTCATGATTTAATGAAGAATTCTATATTGCATGAACATCTAGCTGGAAAAGAGTATTGATTGAATTAGAAAATCAATAAATCAATTTAGTGAAAAATGCAAAGAAAGAAAAATTCTTATTTCCATAAATGATGAAAATATTGGTAAACCTCACACTTATGTGCAGTGTGCACCCATTGTTGACATTTCTTGCTAGGATTTTAGGGCGCTTCGCGCCTGTCCTTTACTTCAACTTTTAATTGTGGCTTTATCTGTGAGTATCTTTTCTATGTAATATAAAACAATAACAAAAAAAATTACGCGGATTTGATAATACTCTTTCGCGCATTTTTAAAATTTTACGACGATCAAAAACTTTTGTGTACAGATTTAGTAATTTTGAGCATCCATAAACCTTCCCTGGGATCATGTGAGGTCCCAACAAAAAATTGGGCCCGATCGTTATTGGATACAATCAATCAAACACCCAAATAAGCAAAGTATATATAGATAGATGACAGTTTTGATGCGTTAGTATTTTGAAAAAGACTATTATGGTGCTTTCAGGTGGCTAAAACTAATTTAGATGATTTTCGCAGGTTAGGTTGTGCTAGGTTATACGTAAAACATCGAATTTTTGTCTGAATTAATGACAGAAGGATTGTCTGAAACATACCCCTATACAAATAAAGGGTTTCGTGAACTTACGTCATTGGTCACTCTAATTGTCGTCTTCCCACGACGAGCAGAACTAATTCTAATAAATAAAGTTTATTTTTTAAAACAATAAAATTTTCGCTAAAAAAGGACATGGCAAAGTTTTGTTTTGCCAAGTCCTATTTTGACCTTTGGATTCGACAAAAGTATGATTAAGCTTGTATCACAATATAATTTTTCTTTTTATGCGAGTAAAATGTTTCATAAAACAACCAATTATTATTTATTAACATTTACGATTTACACACAACTTCTATGTTACTACAGTGATAACCAGAAAACTCTGGAATAGGAAGTCCGACTTTAAGACTCAATTTAAGACTTAAAATAGTACAATAAACATGAGGCATAGCAATTGTGCAGTGTAAACAGAACCATTTCACTTAAATTCATCAAATTCGGACACAGAGCGTTCTACCAGAGGAAGTTTTCTATCTAAAATTGGCTGAGAAACCGTGTTTAAATAACATTGTTAATCATTGAGTTTAAACTATCTTATGGTATTTTCAGATACACTTTTCAGTGAAACTTTGCAGAGGGGGATGTTATTTTACTTAATTGTCCCTAGAGACGTGTTAATGTGTTCATAGTTACATCTTTTATCTATAAGTTGGATTCCAAAAAGGGATTGTTGAGAAATACAATACAAAATTCGATGTGAAACTTTTCTATATTTTGCTCATGCTTGTTATAATCTGAAAAATTTGTGTCAATTAAAATATTTCATTTTACTACAATATACTTTTAGTTTCTAAAAGATGAGCAGAGACACCAAGTGTTGTGATTTTGCAACTCTATTAAAAATGAAACATGAAGTTCTTCCCGTAATATCTAATTTATTTTACGCGTGATATTTACAAGAATTAAAATCTATGATATTCTGGCATTGCATTACTCATGATTTACACGTTGGGAAAATGCAAGATCTTGCACAGGTATCTTTTCTATAACGAGAACAATATGTGAAAAAATTACGAGTATTGAGCTAGAAATATCTCATATATCTTACACGTGATAATAACGAGAATTAAAATCTAGGTATTCTGGCATTGTACTACTCGTTTTAAACACGATGAGAATATGCAAGGTCATGCACTGGAATCTTTGCTACGAGCACAACATGTGAAACAAAATAACGGGAATTTGACTAGAATATTTCCGCGTTTTTTACCCGTGCTTTACACAGGATGAATCTTCAAGATTGAAAAAAGTAGCTTTACCACGAGTATAACACAAGGAGGGGCCGTAAATTAGATCACTTGAATTATCTACCAGTTCTCCACCATGCTAATCTCGTCAAAAAAAACCTTTGTTTTGTTTGTTGGGGTTTCCCACGTTTTACTTTTATAGCTATAAGCAAGGGGGCCAGCTATGTGACTATTTGAGATAAAATTAAATTCCCAGACATACAACAAAATATCCCTTTTCTTAAATCCATGATATCTCTCTGTAAATAAAGTAATTTTAAAGAAAATCCGATTTTCGGTGAAAAAGAAGAACTTAACGTTAACCAATTTCAAAGTTTATACTAGTTCCTGTTTTTGTTGAAAAACTATAGGATTCAACATAAAAATAAGTTAAGAAAACTTGTTTTCCAAAAGAAGGACAAATGAGTTTCAACAAAACTTTTTATAAAATCAAAACATTTTTGCACATTTCAATACTTAAAGAAAAAAGTGTTAAACTAAGTTGAAGATTTATATTTAATTAGATTTAATTACACACGCATGATCATTTTAAGGATTTAAGATTAAATAGTTTAGGGTTTAAGAATGCAAAAGTGAATCGTTTATGGGTCTCTTTTGCTTCAAGGGTGACTTAGAATTTTGGTGACAATCCTTGTTACCCAAAAAGAATGAGACTGAAACTGAAACTGATATTTTTAGATAATATGAAATCTAAGACATATGTTTAAAGGTGCAACAAATGTACACCAACGTTGTCATGTCTGATATAACAATGTTCATTTTGTAAGTTGCAATTTAACCCTATTCCATTTACTCAAAATGGACTGAGGGGTATTAGGTACCTTCCCACAGGTATTTCCCAAATAGCAACTTCCCAAATGTGCAATTTCCCAAGCGGCAACTTCCCAAATGTGCAATTTCCGAAGCGGCAACTTCCCAAAGGTTTGGTGAGGTCCTCTGAATTGGAATGGGGCCCGAGCACAGCTTCTATGAAGTTTTGGGAAGCCAAGCGCTGGGGCTAGAACAGGAGGCGTTAAAAGCGCTGCGGTTAGGACTGACTTGGAAAGTTGACGCTTGGTAAATTGCACATTTGGGATGTTCCCGCTTGGGAAAATACCCTTGGGACGTTGCCACTTGGGAAAAGTACTGTGAGAAAGTACCTAAAATCGGCGGGGGGGGGGGGTCACTGTGCCCCCCTCTATTTCCTTCTTATGATACAAATCTTTAACATTTGATACATTTTTGGACAGCTCTGAAGAAATCTGAAGAAAAATTGCAATTTTCAATAATATTCAGAACCAGGGACAGTCAACAGACGAAAAAGAAATAAAGGATGAAATAATGACAAGAAGAATAACAAAATTAGAGTTATTCTGTAAGAACTGCATCCAAATTAAAAAATAAAAAATTTAAAATAACAATTTGTAAAAAAAATAAGATATAGTTTAATCTTCATATATATATCAGTTGTGTGTTTATTTTCTTTTTCTGACTAATTTTGTTATTGACTACTGTTTGAATACTTTTTTTCTAATCTCGACGTGGTTTTCTTAATGTTGACTTTTACTGCCGGTCATCCATTCATGACTGGCACTTCATACCTATAGCTTCTCATTCTTAACCCTATTCCTGTGGGGGGGGGGGTCAATTTGACCCCCCCCCCTGTAGTTTTTTTACATAACTCAAAAAGTATTGGTCTGAGGCTGTTGAAATTTTCTGACTTTTCTTACATACCCAAAGCCCTCCCTTTAGACCTAAAATCGGGCTTTAATACTAACTGCCTGAGTCCTCAGGCACACTGCCTGAATGACTGCTTTTTTCCTGTAACAAACTAAATCTTTGTTTTGACCAACTTTAACTTGTCAGATTTTGATAAAATTTAGCTTTTTGGAAAGCCTATGACATAAGGAAACGGATTACAAAAGTTTTGCGAAAAAAAATTGCAAAATATTTGCAAACAACCCGTCAAAGGAAATTTGCTCATTTTTAGTTTTATTTGATTAAAAATCATGTTATTTAAAATTTTGCAAAACTTTTTGCATATTTGAAATGGCATGGTCAAGGGCTTTTAAAAAATGTATAATATATCATTTTTTGGACAATTTTTTTCTTGCAAACATTTTTACTATATAAC